GGTAAGAGAATGCTTAGGACTTTTCTCTCTCAAGGCTGAAGACACTGGTACTAAAACAATCCTCTGCTGATTTACCTTTTAAGAAACTGTATTTTACATGTTATAAATAGGAATTCTTAGATGCCAGTTTATAACAGGAAGATGCTAAAATAAGTCTGCCTTAGACATTGTTTATTAATGCAGAGGTAGGGATGTGACAGGAAGGGAGGGCACTGAAGGGTTTCTCTGGAGGGGGTTGGCTCAGCCAGCTTCCTCACAGGTGAGGGAAAGGGAAAAGGGTCTGCATGGAACTTTGTGCACTGGGTTGGGCTTTTTATTTTATTTTATTTTTATTTTTATTCATTTTAAATAGAATAAAACCAAGCACAACAAAACAGAACAAAGGCAAACAAAACAAAACAGTAAAATGACACAGGACCTCAAAACAATACACAGTCAATAATGATTACCATAATGCCTCTTGCTGCACTCAAAATAGCTGCAGATACCTTCAGACATAGTAAAATCAAATAATACAGATCAGCGTAGAATCAACAAAAACAAAACAATGAATGCTACACCGGACCTCAAAAGAAGACAATAATATATCCAAAATGGCTACCATAATGTGTCTTCACTATCTTTGAAGTAGCTGCCCATGCCATCAGATATAACAAAATCAAACAAAACAAAACAGAATAGAACCCAACCCAACAAAACAATGAAAGTGATACAGGACTTCAAAACAAGATAATAGAGAATTAACAGTGGTCACCACCTTCAGAAGGAGACTCTGCATAGATGCCACACTGGGTACTGTTATCCTCCTAGATCTGCAAAGTCAGTGAAACACCAAACACCACAAGCATCAAAATTGCATTTCACCTCAGTAGCTGTCCTTGCAGCCTGTGTTTCTCAGATCAGCTGGTGGTTGCTAACGGTGTATGTGTGTGTGTTTGTGTGTGTGTGTATGTGTGTGTTGGCTCTTCTTGTTTCCCAGCCTACACATAGAAGCAGTTGTGGTCTGGCTGTCCTCTGGCAGTGGTGGCCTGCACATGTTGCTGGTTCACAGGGAGGGCTTGCTTCTTGTTGACTTGTTCTCTGTCCCTGCAGTCCACTAATGGCTCCCAGGGAAAGGCTGGGGTCCGGCTGTCCCCCAGGTGGCCGTGGCGATAAAAGTTTAGTTCATTAGAGCTTAATTTCCCAGAATACCTCTGTAAAATCTCTAATGACTTCATTTTTTTCGGTATCAGGATTGAACTCATGACCTCGCGCTTACCAGGCAAGCGCTTGAGCCACTGAGCTAAATCCCTGGCCTGACTTTTCTTTTCTAATGTGTTATTTATATATGAGATAAGTAGGAGACAAAACAGATTCAAATTAGATATTTGATCAAAAAAACAGCAATTTCTAGTTGTTTAGGGTTATTGCAGCTTGCGCTTCATCTCGTACCTTTTCTTTCACCCTCAAGACCAGAACAGTCATGGTGGTCAGTGTCCTGAGGTCCTCCAAGACATCAAAGGTAGATGATTTTCCATGAAAAGTTGAAACCTGATTACCTTTACTTAGTTACGTTTTTAAATATTACACTTTGTGCATTCTGGTTTATTGAAGTTTTAGTGTACAGTGGGTAGAAAAAAGCTGAAGTGGGAATTTGAAAGCTTATGTAAAAGGTGACTGCCAGTCACTTCATCATCACAGAAAGATGGAAGTAGAGGAACTGGGTTTAGTTTGCAGTGGGAAAGATTTAGGGTGGACACAGAACTTCCTGATGGTAGGGGTCATGTCCCTGGGGAGCTGTATGTCTCCTGGCTAAGAATCACGTATGAACCATTGGTGTTTTCAGGTCTAGGACCTACGTTCCATCCTCATCTTCCCAGTCCTCCTCCTTGTCCCTTCTTGTGGCTTTAAGACATTGCTTTCTGAGCTATGGAGAAAACCGTTGACCTGTGTGGGACACACTTTTGTGGAGATGGGTAGGGAGTAGGAAAGGGAGTGGTTAGATGCGGCCATAAAGGAGAGGACCCCATCTCACTCAGTAGTTTTTAACTTTGGTTATATTTTTTGTTTTTTTGAATACAGAATTTTTAGAAATTCCTCCTTTCAACAAGCAGTACACAGAGTCCCAGCTTCGAGCAGGAGCTGGCTATATCCTTGAAGATTTCAATGAAGCCCAGGTGAGGCATTTTTTTCATGCAGCTACCTTGAATGGTGATGATAAAAGCCTGCTTTTTGCACTGAGGAGAACCCCAAGTCTTGAGAGTGTGGATAAAGTAACCAGAAGCTTGAGTAGCATAGGAATAGTCAGAAAGTTGTTGCATGAAATAAATTTTTTGTAGTGTATAGGAAGAGATGTTAGAACTGTGAGTTAGTTAATGGCTGTGATTCTGCTTCTGGGACAAGCAGGTTGAAATTTATGTTAGTACACATTCCTATTAGTGTTCCATTCTTAGCCTGAAGGGCTGAGTACATGACTTTGTCTGCTGAGGATTTAAGCCCTCAGAAAACTACAAGTTAGTCAGAGAAAATGTCCAGGACAGTGGTGGTGAACCTATGGCATACATACCACAGCAGAGTGTTTGTATCACTGAAATCTCTAAAATGTTCTCCTTCACTGGTTTGGGAGTCTGGGGCTTTCCTGAGACAGAAAAACAGCCTAGGACACAAGGACAGACACAACTCATACTGAGTTGATACAGGTATGGTTCACTAGGGCTGCTGTTCGTGAACTTTCCAGACATTACCAGACCCTTTTTTCTAGTGTAACACGGCCTACCAGTGTCTCCTAATTGCTGATCAGCATTGTCGTACCCGGAAGTACTTCCTGTGCCTTGCCAGTGGGATTCCCTGTGTGTCTCATGTCTGGGTCCATGACAGCTGCCATGCTAACCAGCTCCAAAACTACCGTAATTATCTGTTGCCAGCTGGGTACAGCCTTGAGGAGCAAAGAATTCTGGATTGGTGAGTATTTAGGATCCATCTAGAGCTGAACAGATACAGTAGGAAAATAGCTTTTGGAAGGAGAGTCTAAATGAGAGAATAGTTTTAGAAACTGCAGTGTTCGTAAGATAAAAATCACAGAACTTGAAATGATTTCAATGGTTTTTGTTCTGTTTTGTCTTTTTGAGACAGGGTTTCATTATGTAGTTTAGGCTGGCTTTCAGCTTAGTGATCCTTCTGCCCCAGCCTCCTGAGTGCTGTGATTACAGGTGTACACCATCACACCTAGCTACAGTTCATTTATTTTGTTCCAAAGTTTATTTCCATTTTAATTAGGAAGGAATCTTTTGAAAATATATGAAGATTTGTATGTAGATTCAGTATTCCCAACCTGTCGGTATAGTAGGGAACTAAGTTTCAAGCAACTTAAAAAGAAAAAAACCAAAGCTCAGGAACATGGTTGGGATTATTCCCAACCCGTGCACAAACATGAAAACCAGAATGGTAGCTCGGAAGGCAGAGATTTCAGAAAATACACCTCACAAAAAGTGGGAAAGGGGTTTTGATGGGTGGCTTTCCAAGCATTCCAATGAAAACAATACCTTTGCATAAGGGCTGTTTGCTGAGCATTATCTGTTACTCTCAGGTGCTTTCCATTTCCCAAGGCCTATGTCTCTGACTCCTTCCCAGGCAACCTCGTGAAAATCCTTTCCAGAATCTAAAGGTACTCTTGGTGTCGGATCAGCAGCAGAACTTCCTGGAGCTCTGGTCTGAGATCCTCATGACTGGGGGTGCAGCCTCTGTGAAGCAGCACCATTCAAGTGCCCATAACAAAGGTACCTGTGCGATGTGCATGCTTTGTCACCATCCTGTAGGTCTTCCTCGTCCTGTAGCTCTTGGGGTTGCATATGGATCAGTCATAATAGGGGGAGCTGGCCTGTACATGTAAGATGCCCACCTTTAGGAGGTGAGTAGGTATGATTGAAGCAGCAGGCTGTTCACTTACTGGCTTCCAGTGGTGTATTTAAGCTCTGCTGCAAGGTTACCATGTAGTGATCACCTTTTTACTTCCAGCTGTGCTGAGCAGCCTCATTCTTGACCTAATGGGATTTCAGGGTGGGCAAAGAGGGATACACCGGCACTGCTGGTTTTTTAATGGAGGACTGAATTCAGTGTTCTTTCCTCATTCCCTTCCTCTGCTCCCTGCAGATATTGCTCTAGGGGTGTTTGACGTAGTGGTGACAGACCCCTCGTGCCCAGCCTCCGTGCTGAAGTGTGCGGAAGCATTGCAGCTGCCTGTGGTGTCACAAGAGTGGGTGATCCAGTGCCTCATTGTTGGGAAGAGAATTGGATTCAAGCAGCATCCAAAATACAAACATGATTATATTTCTCACTAAAGTTACTTGGTCTTTCTGGTTTTATTCCCTACTATTGTGGAGATTGTGTTTTAACCAGGTTTTAAATGTGTCTTGTGTGTGGATTCTTTGCATGGATCTTGTATATAGTTTTATTTGCTGGACTTTTATGATCAAAATAAATGTTGAATCTCTTTGGTTGTAGTAACTGAGATTTCTTCATCTCTTTCTTTGAGCTTGTTCTCAGTGAACAAGACAAATACGACTTTCTGAGGTTCTCTATAGGCTTGTTCACTTCAGGATAGCTTGCCAAACTTGGCAGTGAATTTCATGCTTTGGCATCATCAAAAGTTATCCAGGCTCTTTAAAATGCTGTTGTTCCAAAAACTTGATTTTTAAAGTAGGTGAGGGACCAGACTATTATCCTAAAAGTTGAGTGGAACAGCTGTCAGTTTTCTGTTAAAAAATGTCCACTTCTCTTTAGAGCAAGTTCACTCTAGACAGCTGACCTGTGGATTCTCCCATGCTCAGCTGAAAGGGAGCAGGACCAGCTGCTATCAGTGGACAATGACTTTGTTAGGTTAAAGGAACGCCAAACGCTCCAGTCAGAGATCCTCTATTGCTGCTGTCAGTTACCAGAACATCTGCTTTCCCTGCCCCCTGCATCATCCCTGTTAATATCCTCTCCTCCAAACACAGGTCAAAAAAAACAAAACAAGCCAGAGGTCAACAAATGTTTTTTATAAGGAGCCAAACAGTACATATTTTATTAGGTTTGTGGGCCAGCTGGTCTGACTGCAACCACAGACAGTTCTAGGTAAAACACGAGTGTGGCTGTTTCAGGAAAATCCTGTGTACAGAAACACACAGCAGGCAATGGTTTGCTGAGCCCTGCTCCAGTGGCAGAGCAGAAGGGCTTGTCTTTAGTTGACAGTCTAGGGAGGGACTAAAGCTTTCACAGTGTGTGCTAGAAAGTGAAGAACAGGTTCAGTGACTACAAAGTGAGGTCAGAACTTGCATTTTTCCCAGTTTGGAGGGGGTTCAATGAATACTAACTTTGTCTACACTGATGTGAACATTAATGCTTTTTTTCTTTGGGGGAAATGCTTTATATTCTTACTAAAGTTTTCCTTTTACATGTTTGAAAGAATTGGGACTTAGTGACCAAATTGTTCAGGTTCACAATTTTGAAGATCCTTAAGGGTAGGAGATTTCAATCATTTAACCTAATTCTGAAGGAGGAAAGGTATCTGTGTAGGTGTAAGAGGGAAAGCCTGTCTTCCCATGTCTTTCTTTCTTTCTTGGTGGTGACATCCAGCAGTTAAAACTGTTTATAATTTCTTTTTTACCTATCAACTACAAAATATTTAACTTTCTGATGTTTACTGCTGTGTCTCACACACCTTGAATAGTACCAGGGTAAACAGTAAATGTTTAATAATACTACTGCTATAAATAAGCATATCCAGCAGACGTTCCAGGGTGAAGAAGCACAGTTCTTGCAGAGTCAGCAGAGAGACAGTGGATGACACACAGGTCCTCCTTGGCTGGCAAGTTAAGAATCCCCCCTGGTGGGGCAGTCACATTCCACATGGGAATGATGGGGAGGGTTTAGTATCTTGGGGTCACTTCCAGGAGCAAGGGCAGAGTCTTTTCTGCAGGCTGCAGGTGTTTCATGAGTGGATATGTGTTTTGAATCTTCTGTTATAAACTTGGAAACTGGTGTAATTGACTGTTTATCGGTTATGGAAGCAGAAATTTTCATATCCCAAAACTACAAAAGAAAAAAACAGCCTCATTAAATACCATGTTTTCTCAGACTGTCTTTAAAGAAACACAAATCATTATGTAGATGTCACTTTAACCCTCAAACAGTTTCTGTGATTCCTGCTAAAATCAAACAGGAAAAAAATGTGCTTGGGGACAGTTCAGAGTCGGAAGGGAGGGCAATAGAGTGCTTTTATGAAAGGGAATAGCAGCTCTGAGAAGCCAGCCGCCATAGACTCCAGAATCAAGATGCTTTAAAAGTTCGAGCCAGAGGGGCTGGGGATTTAGCTCAGCGGCATAAGCGCCTGCCTTGCAAGCAGGCAGTCGTGAGTTCAATCCCTGGTACCGATAAAAATGAAAAAGACCAAAAAAAGTTCGAGGCAGCAGGGTCCTGCTCTCCTTTCACAGATGGGGAAGCTGGGGCCCTCAGCACCTGTGCTGCACCAGTTGGTTTATGTCAGAGCTGGGACTAAAAGCCACCCTGCCATCCAGTGCAACAATATGTAACCTAGGCCAAGAGTCCTCATGAAACCCTTCTTGTCAGTGTAAAGGTTTAGTGTTTTACTTTGATGATGCTTTACTGGAAAATAACCTTCATTAGTCACTAAAGATGGTCAGATGCACTCCTGTATCTCCGAGCCTTGTTTATAAGATGAGAATATTTGGATGACTAAAGTCACCGTCCTGCTCTGGAATTCCACAGCTTCTTAAAAAGCCATACACACAAAGTCTGTTAAGTTCCCAGAGTTCTTCCTACCTGCCCAGAGTTCCACCAGCCTGGGTGTAGTATTTATTATAGTCTAGTCGCAACAGTAGCTGGGCCAAATCTGAGTTGATCTGATGATTCCGAACACTAGAGAGAATCTTGAACAGGAGTGAAGACTGGCGACTGAAACCCTATGGAGAGAAGGAATCAGGGTGACATCCCCTTAACTTTCCAGTTCCTCTAGGGAGCACAGGGCACAGGAGACCCTGGGAACAGCCTTGTTCAGAATTCCCCAGAGCCACCTGGCCTTCCCACAATCCCATTCTACCAGCTCCTATAATGACTTCTTAGTGCCATCGCTTTAGAATGCATGGCTTCCTATGAAACACGGTTCTCACTAGCAGGGATTTAGCAGCTGGTTTCACAGAAATCTATTCTGCCATGTACTGGGGTTGGGGGGGCAGGCTCATTTCTGTTACAGGGGGATGATGTCACCACCTCAGGAATTTGGTTCAAGGAAGGAAGCAGGTAGGATGTGGGAAAGTGAAAGGCGCATGAGATAGGCTGACCAAACTTTCCTGTTGAGAGTGACTAGTTTTGAACACTGAGGTAGCACATGAATTGTCTACTTTAAAATCAACTCATAGCGACATTTTAATCTCTGTATCATGTTATTTTTATGTGTGTATGTCGGGGAAATGCTTTACTGACTCAGGAAAGATCAGGAACCCTCAGGTTCCAAACCACCTCTACCCTGTGGATAGAGCTGTGTGCTTCCTTCGTCAGGTGTGCTCACCTTGACGAGAATGCTCAGCTGGGCTGCTCCACGCTCGTCCAGTGGGCCCAGGTTCTGACTGACCAGCGAGCAGAAACTGTGACAGAGATCTAGGATTTCATTCAGGCAATGGAACACCTGCCCAGGAAAGAGGGTGGGCATTAGAAAAAGGAAGACCCATCTGTGAAATGAAAGCTGCAAGAAAAATCTATCAGCTGACCACACACTGCTATCCACAAGGCCTGCTGCCCCCTCAGACGCAACACACGTGAACGCGTTCTCAGTCTCTTCTCCACTAGCTGCACTTAATCAGTCGTAATTGCCTGCACCACAGTGTGTTCCTGCCTCTGAGCTGTGTATTGTCCTCATGTCTGAACACTCTTCTCTGACACCAGTGCAAGCCCTGCTGTCGAGGGAGTGTTCTTCCCACTCTGTAGCTGTAGTGAGCCCCCCACCCCGGTCCTGTGCTGTAATCTGTGCTGTACATTTGGCATTGTGTAGCCCACTTGTGCTATCACTGATTTCTGTATAAATGTGTCTTGTTTCTCCAACTAGATTGTGAGCTCCTTAAGGGCAGAGCCATGACTTATACCTCTTTGTATCCCCAGTGCCTTGCATCCAGTAAGCACCCAATAAATATTTAATGAAGATGGCCTAGTCTGAGTATTCTGCTTTTCCCTGTGGACGCACTCATGCCAGGCAAGGACAGGTCTACCTATCACAGCAGTTGTGGTTGTTTTCAATTCACAGAACTCTTTGGAGTGGCATCTGCATCTGCATAACTCACTTGCCAATGTAGCAAAAGTAACAGCCCAAATGCCAGAACACAAGAAGGGTGTGGCACACAGTGGTTAGCCAGTTTGCATTAGCGAGAATGACAAAGGTCATTTCAGTCTTCCTGCTTTTAATCCTGGACTGGCAACCAGCCTGTGAGCAGCGAGAAACAGGGTGCCTGCTGTTAGAATCTGGGGATTCTAACTCAAGTGCTCTGGGGCCCCGCTGATTCCACTGGGCCATGAAAGTTGGGAATAACTGCTGTGCGGGAGACAGGCGTGTGCACTTACAGACATACACACACAGAGACAGACATTACTCTAGTGCTCCGCATAACAACTTTGAAATGACTGGTTGATCCTGGTCCAGCAGATGCCAAGGAAAATGAACTCAGCTTTTCATTGATTTTTCTATAATGTCAGGAAGATTTCTGAGTTTCTTTAAATCCTATCTGAAGGTTAAATGCATAATTCTTTTATCTATTGCTGTTTTCTCTACAATATAAAAGTGTAGGACAGAAACACTTCAGTTCCCTTTTAACATTTCCTTTTAGTTTTGCTTTGGTAATTGTTAAAAATGTTTAGAAAACAGAACTGAACAAGAGCTTAATGAGTTTCCTATTTTGCCAATTCAAGTGCCTAAGGAAGCAGTGAGTGCTCGAACCAGTGTAAGGAAACTGACCAACCATACTTACAGGTTTCAGCAAGATAAAGGACTGAGCCAGCAAGTTGCTCAGGAAGTGGTCATGAGCCAGTCGGATGCTTTCAAAGTCACGGGTAGAATTGATCTGATGAAGCAGCTGTGAGAACTGAGACTCCAGCACATCCACCTGATAGTGATACAAACAGGTTCAGCACCTTCATATTCTAAGCACTGTTCTACCCTGTTAGGTGCCTGACAGGATAGACAGAAATTCCATGCTTCTGCTGGTCTTCCCTCTAGCCAAGTCACCTTCAGGTTCACCAAAGGCCACAGCTATGCAGGGCATTATATGTGCAATCATCTTGATCACCTTCAATGTCTTGGGGACCTAGCTTTCCTGCTCCAACCTAATACCCACTCATGCCCCATTCCTGTTTGCTGACTTGAATTAGCCCTACAAGATTCCACAAGTGCTAGCAAACACAGAGGAGCAAGTCAGCAATAAACACTGCATTGCTGAGAAGGACCTTGACTCTGTCCGTAGTTTCACTTTCTCTAAAATGCCTGCACAGACAGGTATAACTCAAGTTTTCTCAAATGTGAACTCCTCAAATACAGAGCTGCTGGCCCTCTACCACTCAACACCTCCTAGACCTCATACCTCTCCTTGCTCAACCCCAGAATGCACCTGAAGATAGTACTGGAGATTATCCACTAAGAATGCCATGTGATTTCGAAGGCGCCACTTGACTGCATCAGTCTGGTTAGACTTGAGGTGCTTGCGCTGCATCTGCAGGGCCCAGCAGTGCTGCAGTTCAGCTTGGACCCGGCGCACACTCAGCAAATACTTGAAAATAACATTGTACCTACAATGGGACATGAGACTAGTCAAGAGACAAACTCTTCCCACTCCACCGCCATGACATAATAGGCAGGAAAGAATGGCTGGGGATGTGGACTCAAGCATTGTATAGCTCAGGTGTAGTGAAGTACACAGCAATCTACACAACCCAAGAGTGATTCTTTTATTTATTTTTGTACCGGGGATCAAGCTCGACCACACACTTATGCAAGGCCAGACTTATGTAGCTGAGCTAAATCCCCGGTCCCCAACAGTGATTCGCTAGCAGTATCATTCTGAGTGAAAAGTGGTAAAGTGGAAAAGATCACATTTAAGTAAATCTTTAAAAGGGCCAAAGATATAACTCAGTGGCACAGTGCCTGCCTGACAAGCGCGAGGTCCTGAGTTCAATATCTGATACTCAAATATAGAAGAGTTAAAAAGAAAAACCTTTTGAGGAATACACACAGATGTTATAAAACTACAGAGAATGGAAAGAAAACAATTTATAGTATTAGCTGCCTTGGGCTGGGAGGCAGGGAAACAGGACTGGAAGAACACACAAACATGAACATTACCAGGGACTGCTTTGGCTGTATCTAGAATGTCTCCCACTCACTCATGCACTTACAGGTGGGGCTTTTCAGAGATGGCTGGATCTACAGTGTGTGAATGTGGATTAAAGGTGTGTAATACAGGTTTAAAAGGTGAAAGATTTATGCAATCTGAAGAGAAATCATAGTATTGCAGCTGTGGTTTAGTTTAGTGCACTGACTGGTTTATCATAGCGGATAATGGGAAGCCCAGCTCTGAATGTAGGTGGCACCACCCAAAAGGCTTAGCCTTGATGGGATAAAGGCGAAAGATCGCTGCTTGCTGTTTCTGCTTGATGCCTCCCGCCTGCTCTGCCATAGATTGTTTTCCCCTCCCGCTCCCCTCTGCCTTGCCTTGGACTCAGCTGACTGTGGACTGAAACCTGACAAACTGTAAGCTGAAATAAACCTTTTCTCCTTTAACTTTGGGTGTCAGGTATTTCCTCTCAGAAAAAGAGAGAAAATAACTAAGACACTGATAAGTTTCTGTGCTGGGAAGTCTTTTGTTTTTTTGGTACCAGGGATCAAACTCATGACCTTGAGCTTGCTGGGAAATGGTTTTATGACACATGAAGGAAGGCTGGAGGGCCTTCTATGAATCAGTAAGCCTCTAGCACCTGTGATGGAGGGAGAGGTGCATCGTGATACTGGTGGCCACTGAAGCAGGAGAATGAAGCCATGGGAGTTCTTTGCAGTCTGTGTTTGTTTCTGGTTAGAATTTTCTGTAATACAAAGCTGAAAAATACCACTGATCCAAGAGTTAAAAGCATGTCGAGTGAGAGGGTGGGTGGACTGTGGCCTATGCACGCTGTGGCACAAAGGGGCACCCGGGATAAGGTCTGTGCAGCTTGCGGGGCTCAGGCCGCCCCAGCAGCCAGGTCTGGGAAGCAAGGGGAGCATGGACAGGGCCGGAAGAGGAGATGGGGCTTCTGTTTGTTTCTCTCTTCCCACTCTGTGGGCCTCACTCCAGATTCTCTGCTGCTTTCCTGGGAAGGAGATTATCCTACCTCCTTTCCCTAGAGCTCTGCTTCCCTGCTGCTTTGGGGACCTCAGGTCCCAATCAGTACATCAACAGCGTGGGCAGGCTCTTGTAAAGAACAGCTCATGCCATGTTGGTCCAGCTCCTTTATGCTATCCCCAAACCTTGGATGTCCCTGTTGCCTCCCTCCAGGGGAGGGGGTGATCTCCCGTCTTTATACCCTTCAAGCTGGAGGGCTTCCCTAAGGAAACCGTCAGCAGCAACAGCAACAACAAACATCATTAACATCAAATTTGTCTGGTCTGATGGAATCATTAAAGGCCAGACTCTCAATGCGGAATCTGAGATCTCATTTTCCAAAGGTCACTAATTAGCAGCTGACAAACTGCTTGTTATTTGGAAAATTATTTTAAAACTATGTTTTAAGTGTTTATAATCCTCCCATTCATTCCAGCACCCTCTAAGTCACATCTGCGGCCTCACATATTGCTGTGTTGTGGCTGAGCCCTAAAGACACATTCTCTGCTTTACAGCTAGTTAAAAACTAGTTGGGTGGCTCTCTTGCTCCCACCAATTCTGTTCCTGTGATTTTCTTTCCTTGGGAGTAATGTAAGTAATATTTGTCTGTGAGACACGGGGAGTACTCACTTCTCCAGGACAGCCGGGGTGAACAGAATGTGCAGAGGCCACTGTACTTTGTAGGAAAGGCCCAGAGCTGCCCAGCCAGATGCAGGGGCTTCCCGGGGGGAGGTTTCCCTAGAAGGCCCTTCTCTTGCCTGAATGCCATCTAGGATCAAGAAGAGGAATAAGAAATGACAATTTGGCTAATCCAGAATTAGTCTCAACAAAGCGAGCAATATTCATGAGATAAGCTTGAGGAGTATGCATGTGACTCAAAGGCAGTACACACGTGGCTTCCCCATGAGGCTGTCCTTGGAGGGCTTTGAGATTCTTTTTTAGTGCTAAAACTGGAGGGTGAAGCCACGGCCTGGGCAGAAACCATGGCCTGGGCATCTCCCCTAATTTCTCTAGGTTTCCAAGCTTCCTTGTTTTCCTAGCCACAATTAGAGAACTGAACTGGATGCTTTCTAAAGTGCAAAACAATATTTACCTGATGTCTGTGAAGGTAGACACAACCAAAGGTAGGAAAAGTCATGTGATCAGAGGAGCAGAAAGGTACAGAGGATGGCAAACCTTTGTGCTCCTTCCCATGAAATTCGATGGTCAAGTGCAACAGAGGGAGAAGGTTGTCGTCATCGAGTAACACCTTGTGTGCCGACTGCTGAAAGGCCACGTTCACGTCTGCAAACAAAGAGCACACAGGCTGCTGGAAGGCTGCTGGAAGGCAGTGGGACGCAACGGACAGCTGTTATGTTTGCTGGGTCAGCAGTAAGTGCTTCTTCCTCTCGCTGGTAAAAGTGCTCTAGAGAGGAATCCTGACCTAGACCATGCAGCTAGCGCTGGGGTGTGGCCTGCAGCCTGGTTCCAAGGCAGGCCGGTAAGCCAGATGGCTCAATTGGAACGTCACACTCTGTCTTGCTACTCTAGTCCAAGCCAATCTAGGGGCTCTATTCAGATACTTTTAAAACATAGGTGCCCTTCTTGTGAAATCAGTAGGCACTTATTGGGCTGGAGCCTCTCCTGCTACCACTCAGACAGGATTGAGAAGAAAGAAGTGAAGGATGAAAGATGTAGTAATGGCATAATCTGAGCCATGGGAGAGCTAGCACACTTCAGGGCTTTCCAGTTAGAATCACTTACTTTCTTTCTTTCTTTATTGTCTTTTTGAGGTAGGGTCTCACTATGAGTTCAGGCTGGTCTTGAGCTCACTTTGTAGCCCTGGCTATTTTCGAACTTGCAGCGATCCTCCTGCCTTTGCCTGCCAAGTGCTAGGATTATAGGCGTGTACTACTCTGCTCGGTTTGTTCTTTCATTTCTTGTTTTCAATTTGTTTACGTTAGGTTGAACTGGATATTCTCTTTCCTTCTCTTCTCCCTTTTTTCTTTTGTTTCTCCCACCTTTTGTCTGCCTGTCTCTCTATTTCTGTCCTCTCTCTCCCCGTCAGTCTGCATCTCTGTCCCTGTCTATGCTGGGAATTCAACCCAGGGTATCACACTAAACTACATTGCTGAATTGGGTTTTCTTATATCTGCCACCAAAAAAATGTAGGTGCAGTGGAAATACATTGTTTTACCCAGTTGGAGGGAAAAAGTCTTGTATTTTTTTCCTTCTATTTTATTTTTTTCTTTTTGGCTCTGATCCTTACCCAGCTCTCTTCTAAATGGGAACAGCCATTAATTGTAGGGGTACACACTTTGCTGAACTAAGTCTGTCCTACTGTCTGATCTCTTTATTGATACAAAGTACGCATATGACTTGGAATGGACCAATCAGAACTCTTCCCTGGAATTCTTTAACTTGCTACCAGAGAGAGCAGGTATGACTCCTTTACTAGACGTTGTGGAGAAGTATGTTCTGATGGTCCGAGGTCAGGAGAGTTTAGGAGATACAGTAAGACACAGGGAGGGGGAATTCTGATAGTATGTTAGTCCCTTGTTGCAGGTGTTTGAGATCCAGCTATATACCTGTCCCTCTTGAATTTTAGATAAAATGGCAAATAAATTCCCCTTTTTAAACTAGGCTAGCTCATGGTAGGTTTCCACTGTCCATAGCAGAAAGAATTTTATGCAATACTGTTAAGTTACACTAAGTCCCAATAGCCCTTTAAGACAGATGTGCTACATCTGATGAAGCATCTGGACTGACGCCTGTACCAATTCATCCACATAGAACAACTAGGCAAGATACTGTTACTAATGGTCATGGTGTGATGCATGTCTTCTACCACTGGAAGCGCTGCTCTGTGACTCAGTAGGTCACTCATATGCAGAATAGGCGTAGGAGTAATAGCAGCAGCCAAGAAGCACCCTGCAACTTCAGTAAGCTGGTCATTTTTGGGACCACAAGGCAATTACCATGCTCGGTCACTGCAGTAGGCGGTGTTTTTAACATGTGCTGAGCGGTGTCAATGAAGGCCTGAAACAGTTCTCCTCGTCCCAGAAGGTAAAAGTCTTTAATGATCTGAGAAAAGAATTTCAGTTTGCAAATCAGTAAAGCAAGGACAGAGGTCTTTGCTATTTTGAGGGAATGAGACATGTAACTCCCCCAATCATAGTGGTCTGAAGGACACAGGCATTTGGTATTTCAAAAGGGTATGTGAAGAGCTCCTCACAGCAGGGTGGCTGGTTTGCATTTGGCATCATTCATTCAATGGCAACATACTTATATTACACAGGAAAGTAAACTCCCATATAATAGGAGGTTTGTAGCACAAGGTACTGTCAGCTCACTTGAGTAAGACCTACTGAGTCTCTGTGACATCCAGGTATAGGCAATCAGTGCTCTCACCAAAGATTAGAGAATATAAGTCAGTGTCTTCCAGTGCCAGTGTTAGAATTAATTAAAAGAAGGCCAGGAATATAGCTCAGTGGTACAGCACCTGCCTGACAAGTGCAAGGTCCTAAGTTCAAGTTCTGGTACCAAAAAGAAAAAAAGAGAGAATAAAAAGAACAGTTATTACCTTCAGCTGACCCAGTAAATCTGACTCTTCCACCATCAACTTCCAGAGATGCTGTGAAAACAATAAACAGAAGTTCATTACACTAAAACTCTCACAAAAGAATGGTTCTGTACAAATCCAGCAGTGTGCTGAAGAGGAAATGTTTGTTTACAATTATGCAGTCCAGTAATTAATCGAAAGCTTAACAGTAAACAAAACCATATGAGATATAAATGTTCTGAAATTAGTGGTAATAGCTGCATAACTGTGAATACAGTAAAAGCCATAGACTTGTACACTGTGGGTTTTTTTTTTGTACTGGAGATTGAACTCAGGATCTCATGCTTGTCAGGCAGGCACTGTACTGCTGAGCTATATTCCTGGCTTACATTAAAGTTTTTTTTTTTTTTAAATTGGTACCGGGGATTGAACTCACAACCACCTGCTTGCAAGGCAAGGGCTTATGCTGCTGAGCTAAATCCCCAGCCCCTACATTAAAGTTTTAAGAAGAAAAACGAATAGATATAGAAAAAGCATTTGATAAGATTTTATGTTCCTGATTTTATTTAATTTTTGAGACAGGGTTTTGTGATATATTTCAGGCAATTCTTGAACTCACTATGTAGCCCTGGACAGCCTTGAACTCACAGTGATCCTCTTGCCTCAGCCTCCTGTGTACTGGGATTACAGGTGTGTGCTACTACACCTAGCCCCAAACTGTCATGAGTAACTGGTATCATCATGATCGTCACAGGAAATCCAAAAGAGCGACACACAGAACATGAGAACTAGTAAGAGAATTCAGCAAGGCTAGTGGTTAAAATGCAAAACTTCAGTGTAAAGCTGACATGGAAAAAGTCCTGGCTTTAGAATTTGCCCAGTGAAGGCATCGATGACATTCAGAATGCTGAGATTTCCCATCCTTAAGTGATGCTCCCTGCCCAAACTCACAAAGTATGAAGTAGCCCCTGACCTTCCTACAGCAACATTTCTAGACAAACTAGCTGACATCCTCAGGGGAATATAAGCTCCTTGGCCAAAATAACTGGGCCTGTGAAAAGTAAAAAGTACACCAGGCAGGGCAACCCTGCTGCACGGACCTACCTAGGGACTTTCTAGATCTCCCCAGCAACACTGAGGTAGGTACCTCTCACCTTCTAGCGTCAGCATTGCAGGAACTCCATGATCCATCCTTCCTGAGAGCAGTGCCTTTCCAAGAACTAGGGAGTTCCGGGCATAGCAGCCTCACCCACCTAGAGTATCTTGGAAGGGCCCTTAGAACATCAGAGTTCTGTGCAAGACTGTCCAGGGCTTCTGCTGCAACTGCCCCCAAAATATAAAGGATGAAAAAACCCAAATACTTTATTGGGCCAGTACTACCCAGATCTCAAAAACCAAAGGACAACACACTCCAAAGAAACAACAAACAACAAACAATCCCAAAACTATATACTAATATTCTTGGTGAACACAGATGCGAAAATCTTCAAAACAGTGGCAAACCATTTCCAACAACACATTGAAAAGACTGGTTAACGTGATCAAGTGGTAGTCATTTCATCCCAGGGATGCAAGGATGGTTCAACATATGCTAATCAATAAATGTAGTTTAAATCAAATCAATAAAAGTACATCATTAGAATAAAGGTCAAAAACATATGGTCATTTCAAATGCAGAAAGGATGTGATAAAATTTAGCATCACTTCACATAAAAATTAGAAGCTGGGCGCAGTAGTGCGTGTCTGTAATTCCAGCAATTCAGGAGGAGGATTATAAATATGAGTCCAGCTTGGGTAACCTAGTAAGATCGCACTTCAAAAAGCAAACAAAACAACAAAAACAACAACAAGAACAAATTAAGTAGAGAAAGATCATACTTCACAAGTAAAAGCCATATTTATAGTAAGCCAACACTTACCATTATACTGAATAGGGAAAAAGTGAAAGCTAAGAACCACAAGACAAAAATGCTCACTTTTAATCTTTCACTCTACATAGAAGTTTTAGTTAGAGCAATCACGTAAGAAAAATAACGGGCATCCAAATTGAGCTTCTGCACACCAAAGGAAACTATCAACCTACTAAAGGAAAAACCTATAGAATGGGAGAAAATAGTTTCAAACTATATACCTGACAAGGGGTCAGTATCCAGAATATACAAGGAAATCCAAAGCCTCAAGAGCAAACAACCCAAAAAAACAATTTTAAAAAAAAGGAGAATAAATCTACACTGACATGTTTCAAAAGATGATATATAAATAGGTAACAGGCACATAAACAATGCTCAGCATTACTAATTATCAGAGGCATACACATTAAAACCACAAGAATCCTCTCACCCAGTAAGAATGGTCATTATTAAAAAGACTCAGGATAACAAGCATGTGGAAAAAGATGATCCTCACAACGTTTGGAAATATAAGTTAGTACAGTGTGGAAGTTCTCCAAAAACTAACCATATTAATACCATATGAGCCAGCAACCCCACTCCTGGTACACATCCAAAAGAAAGGAAATCAGTTGGCCACAGAGGCTTTTGTACTTCCATGTTCACTATTGCACAGGTCACCAGAACCAAGAAATGGAAACCGCCTAAGGGTCTATCATAGTCCATGATAGATAAAAATCTGGCACAGACAGGATGAAATACTGGTGAGCCATTCTTAAGAACAAAATCCTGTCATCTGCAGCAATGTGAGTGAAATTGAGGCCTATGATATGTTAAGTAAAAGAAGCTGAGCACGGAAAGATAGGTTTTGCATGATCTCACTGGCACGTGGAATCTGAAAAAGTTGAGTTGCTGTAATTCAAGAGTACACTGGTGATTACCAGAGGCAGGGAGAGTGGGAATAGGGTGGGTTATGGACGGGACAGTAAGTTACAGTTAGGAGCAAGGAGTTATGCTGCGCTGTTGCACTGTGACTGGAGATAACAATAATTTACAACACATTTCAAAAAGCTAGAAGAAAGGATTCTGAAAATTTTTACCATAATGAAACAGATAAAGCTGGGCATAGTGGCACATGCCTGTAATCCCTGCACTCAGGAGGCTGAGGCAGAAAGGATCATTGCAAGTTTGATATCAGCTTGTTCTAAAAAATGAGTGCAAGACCAGCCTGAACTGCATAGCTAGGCCCTATCTCAAAAAGACAATAAATAAACTAATTAACAATTAAAAAATAAAGAAACATAAATGTTTGACCTGAATCATACATTATAAAATATACACATATATTGAAACACTGCCTGGTACTCAATTAAATGTACAACTTTTTTTTTTGTCTTTTTCTTTTTTATCGGTACCAGGGATCGAACTCACGACCGCACACTTGCAAGGCAGGCGCTTATGCCACTGAGCTAAATCCCCAGCCAATGTACAACTTTTTTATGACTGGTAGTTTTAAAGTTTTTTTTCTTTGTGGCACTGGAGATTGAACCCAGGGTTTGCACACTTGAGGCAAGTGCTCTGTCGCTGAAATGCATTCGTTGGTTTTTTGTTGTTTTTTTTTTAGACAAAGTTTAGCTAAATTACCTAGGCCGGCCTTGAATTTATGATCCTACTGCTTCAGCCTCCTGAGTTGCTGGGAGTACAGGTGTGTACCATTGTGCCCAACAACTTTCATGTATCAGCTACAATTTTTTTTTTTTAAACTGGAGACGTTCTCATTAGTAGAGAACTTAGGGTCGGGGGTTTAGTTAAGTGTCATAAGCATCTGCCCGCAAAGCATGAGGTCGTGAGTTCAATCCCCAGTACCACAAAAAAAAAAAAAAAAAAGAAAAGGGAACAATCAGTAGAGAACTTGCCTAGTACACACAAGGTCCTAGATTTGAGCCACAGTACTACCAAAAGGAAGATAAAAACCCTACAAATTTTTTTCAGTTGAAAGAAACAAAAAAGAAGAAATAGACAGGTATTAGTGAACTATAGAAAACTAAAGAAAAGTAAAAACAAAAGTGATTTTATTAGTTTTATTAATCTTACTAAGTAAAAAGTTAGGTTAAAGACTAAATAAAAGAGAAAATTTAGATAAAATGTGAAATAAAATGTAAATAACCACAGACAAGGAGAGATTTTTAAACATAACGTAAGTCTAGAAGAAATAGACATTTGTAGGAAAATGCCAAAACTGTTTTAAGTTTTATGTCAATACATTTTAAATAGACAAACTGAAATTTTCCCTCCTAAAAAAAAGCAGCTCAGATTTCTTTTCAGATAAATTCGGTGAACCTTTAAGTAACATTTTCTATCTTATGTAAGTTATTCTAAAAAAATAGAAACAACAGCTACGTAGCCTAGCTTACTTTATAAAGCTTGTATAATCGTATTACAACACTACCTAAGAATAAGACAGAACAGTCTTATTTTACTAATGAATACACACACAAAAATTCTAAATATTATTTTATATTCTAAAAAAATTCTAAATATTATTTTATATTCTAAACAAATCCAGTAGTGTATTAAAAAATAGAATAATCACAATTGAGAAGACCTTTGCCCAGGAAGATTCAACATTTGAAAGCCTAATCAGAAATTTAAATATGAATAGGTGAAACAAAAAAAGACTCAACATAAGAAACTGCCACTTCATTGGTACCAAAGGGGCAGATGATAAATCAGGATTATTTACGGCTAAATGTTTTTTTTTTGTTTTGGTTTTTTCCTTTTGAGACAGGGTCTTGATTCATAATTCAAGCTGGCCTTGAACTCACTTTGTAGCCCAGGCTGGTGTCAAAGTCAAAGCGATCCTACTGCCTCAGTCTCCCAAGTGCTGAGGCTACAGGCCTATGGTACTGGCTATGGTTAAGTCTTAAAAATATATTTTAACAATGAGCCAGGAGTAGAGGTGCAAACCTATAATTTCAGAAAAAATATGATTTCCTTTTCTGATCACCATCCCCCAAAAATCCTAAGTGTCAGACAGCTGTTACGCAGACGCAGAATAACAGACCTTAAAATAACCATGAAGCATCACTACACCTGATTTCTTATGGGCAAGTAAATAATCAAGTCATCTAAAGTCCTTATTTCTGTTCTTTAAAAATTTCAAGACATTATCTCACCTGGTCTATATTCTGAGGCAAGCTCCTATCTAAATGGGATGATATCTTCAAGTCCTTTCAACATTTTTTATTAACTCTATTTCTGCTTTTTTACCATCTGTGTTACGACTGTTTGGATAGCATACTTTTTTTTTACACTTTTTTTTTTCTTTTTTTTATCGGTACCGGGGATCAAACTCACGACCGCCTGCTTGCAAGGCAAGCGCTTATGCCGCTGAGCCCCAGCCCCTGGATAGCATAATTAATGGAAGAAATTTCTATTTTATTGTAGGAGATGTCAAAATTGGTTTTGTTTCTTTAGAAATTCTGAAATGAATACATTGGTAGAAATTATATGTATTTACTTATTTATACTATCATGCTCACTGTAAACCTCTGGGATATAAATTTATAAGTTAAAGTAATAAGTAGCTCTAAATTTGCCAAGAGTTGGTCTTTGTTTTTTCAGTACTGGGTTTGAACCCAGTTTTGTAAAAATGATAGACAAAAGAATTGAAGCTCAGACTCTAAAATTTCTTAGAATTGCAACTAGTAAGACTTTTTTGAGGGATATTACTGTAACAATGATAACATCTTCTCACAATGCAACAAGGCATTCCCAGAAAGAAAAGTTGGAAGTATGCTACAAATATGTGTTGCATTCATCCTTTTGTGCTATCACTTACCCTTTTAATTTTTCAAAAATAAGTGTTGGCCTTTGAGTTAGTGGAAGAGGGCTGTGGGCTCCAAAGTGCTGGTGATGTTTAGTGTGTTTCATTTCTTGATCTGGGGGCTGGTTATATAGGTAAGTTCAATAGCTTAAAGTTGTAAACTTACGATTTGTGTGTGGGGGCTTTTTTGTTTGTTTGTTTTGGCTTTGGTTTGGTTTGGTGTGAGGCAAGGTCTTGCTGTGCAGTTTAGGCTGGTCTTGAGTTCACTATATAGCCCAGGGTAGCCTTGAACTCATGGCAATTCTCCTGCCTCAGCCTCCCAAGTCCTGGGATTACAGATAAATACCACCACTCCCAGCCTGTGTGCTTTCTTGTACATATTTTAGCACTTCAACAAAAAGGTTTTAAAAAAATTTTAGATACTTAATAGTTTTTAATTATATTTTTAGCTGGGTATTACTTACATAAGTAGTATTTTTGTACTTAAACTTGGCAACTTGCTGAAGTCTCTTTGTTTTTGGTTTTGTTTTGCTTTTTGTTTTTTGCACAAGGAATAAAACTCAGGACTGTGTACTTGCCAGGAAGGTGCTGTGCCACTGAGCTATATCCTTGCTCCCTGCCCCGTTTTTTTTTTTTGAGACAGGGTCTCATTATGTAGTTCAAACTGGCCTTGAACTCACTTTGTAGCCCAGGTGGCCTTGAGCTTGAAGCAATCCTCCTGCTTCTGAGATTAAAGGTGTGTTCTGTTATGTTTCAATACCCTTAGTTCAACAGTTTATTCTCTTAGGTTTTTTTGATTTTTGAAAAATGACCTGTTCACCTCCAAATAATCAGAGTCTTGAAATTTACTTTCAACTTTTAAACTTTTTCTTTTCTTACAAGGTTAGCTAGGACCTGTGTATATGTGTGTGGCACTGGAGACTAAAGCCAGGGCCTTTGCTCTGAGCTATGTCCCCAGCTCCCCTCTTTTTTTTTTTTTTTTTTTTTTTGCCTCTTTGAGAGCTAGTCTCACTAAACTGCCCAGGCTTGGCTCCTTCCTCAGCCTCCCAAAGTGCTGGGATTACAGATGTGTATCACATTTGCATTGGCCAGGATCTTGAATACTACATTAAACAGATGGGATGAGAGTCTAAGCAAACTTTTATACTGGAGGCATAATAATATCTTTCATTTGTTGGCTCTTACAAAGATTATGCATATAAAGCTTATCTATCACTATCATGCTCACTGTAAACCTCTGGGATATAAATTTATCAAGTTAAAGTAATCAGTAGCTCTAAATTTGCCAAGAGTTAGTCTTTGTTTTTCAGTACTGGGTTTGAACTCAGAGCCTCTGTGCTAAGTATGTCCCCAGCCTTTTTTAAAATTTTGAGACAAGGCCAAGTTGCCTTGGGGCAAGAAGATGTCTGAGTTCAAGGCCAGCCTGAACTACATAGTGAAACCCAGTCTCAAAAAAACAAAAACAAACAAACAACAAAAAAAAAAATCAAAGAAAACAACAAACCTCAGCCACAGTGCTTCGAATACCATCCACCACCTGCTCAAAATCCACTAGGCTAAAGAGAGGCTGCTGCTTTAGTCGATGCAGCTCTGCAGCAAAAGTGTCCTCCTGATTCTTCAAAATAGACCCTGCAAGAAGAAGAAAGTTCTGTCACAAGAAGAGAAGACAGCCAGGCTTGGCAAGGTGCCTGGGAAGCAGCAACTTGCTCTGGGCCCTGCAGGGTGAGGAGGGTAGGGCCTCTGCACTTTTGACTTGTGGTCAAGAAGAAGCCCACCTTTTCTTGTCAGGGTCACATTCTGGTTCTCGAACATCTGCACAGACTCTCCAACAAAGAGGATTTTTTCAGCAACCCTCACTGGAATGTAAGATGGCAAAATCTCCACTCGTAGAGAAAACTGCTTTAGCGATGGTGCCAGCATGTTCTCTTCCTCAATAAGGCGCTAGGAAGGAAGCAGTTCTCTTCAGAGACGAAGCACAAAGTAAGGAAAAGAAAAGGGGGAAATACCTGCTTACTTCCTCAATCCATGCTTTCTATTTTTTAGAAGCAGGGACTGTAAATTTGAACACACACGATTCTCAATCATCAGGAAGCAGAGCGGCAAGACGGCTTTTGAACCCTGGGATTGAACCCTGCCTTCGCTGTGTGAAACGCGGACAGTAAGCCAGCTTTCTTACTCACACAGTGCAAGAACTGCTCTTTTTCCAGGTCTAGGTATGTTTGCTCTGCTGCTATTCCTCAGGCCTCTCCTAAACCTCTCTGCTTTCCTTTTTCTCTACAGTGTGGACTGTTCTTCTGAGACAATCACATTTTTGTGAAGTCATTAAACATAATAGTCTTACTCTTTTTAGGTCACAGGCCTCTCTGCAAATTATAAAAACTGTGTACCATCCAGGCAAATGCACAGGCATTAAAACATTTTTGAGAACTTCTTGAAGCCACCAATGTTCCTCAGATTAAAAACTTTTGAGCTATATGCTAGTGACACCATCTTTAGCTTTACTTATTGATTTATTGTTTTTTTGAAGTCTTGCTGTGCAAGTCAGACTGATCTTGAACTCACTATGTAGCCCAGGCTAGCCTCGAACTCCCAGCTCTCCTCTGGCCTCAGAATCCCACATGCTAGAATTACAGTTATGTGCCGCCATGTTCAGCTCCACGGTTGGACTTAGACAAAGCTACACTATTCTCATGAGCCCCAGGCTTAGCTCACTGGACAGTTCCTCAGATCCCTACATAGTTCAGGCTGGCCCTAAACTGTGACATAATCTAGGTTGGCCTAAAACTCCACTAATCCTCCTGCCTCAGCCTCCCAAATGCTGAGATTGTAGATGTGTGCCACCACGCCTGCCCTTTCCTCACATTTATAATGCCTAAAATTAGATCCGTCTTTCTCCCCCAACACCAGCAGAACTGCTGGCAACAGAAACCTGAGCATTAACTTTGACTCTTCCCTCTTCACCCACAGCCAGCCGATCACTGAGGCCTACTGATTTCACCTCTAAAACTCTTCTCCGTGTTCACTCTCCACCTTCCATTGAGGGCACTATTAGTTTCCACCTAAGGGTCCCCATCACAGTTAACTAGTCTACCTGTTAATTTAATCTTGGTTTATAAAAAAAATTATTCCTTGCACAGCATCCAGAATGATCATAAAGTCTGAATGTGTTACCCTTTCCTGAAAGTTTTCGATGACTCCTAGTTCTCTGAGGTTCAAGTCCACATCTCTTCATGCTGTTAGTAAGGGGCTTCGTGCTCTTGCATCTGCTCAACTCAGCAGCCTCATCAACTGCCACCTACTCTCTCCCCTCTTCCCTTTCTCACACATTACCTGACCATTTCAACTGGTTCCCCAAAGGAGTGACAGCTTCTGTTACTTCACACATCATCCCTTCTGCCCAGAGATGTCCTGCGCTGTCCTCCTAAACACTGCAATCTAGATACGCACGACACTGAAGAGACTTCAAGGGTTACTCCATATTCCAAGAATACCTATGCTTACTGTTTTTCAGAACACATAGTACATTATAATACAAGTGTCTACTTTATTGTAAATGAAACTATAAGCTTCTTAAAGACAGAAACATTTTCATGCACCTATGTAGTTGTGACATTTACCATGCCCAGTACATATTAGGTCTTCAAATGAAATATAACAAGATAAATGGATAGAAGGATATTCATTCATATGAATGAATATGGATAACACACAACTTTGAGGAGTCTGATCAAAATTGTGAAGTCATTTAAAAAGCTACAGGATATCTATAGTTTGTAGAGATATGACTTATTATTTACCTCTTAAATACTTATAATGGAAAACAAAGAACATTCTGAAAGGATGGAATCTAGTTCTGGGCAAATGCAAGTATTCTACCACTGAGCTACACTCCCAGCCCCCTACAACCATATTTTCTCACTTAGAGTTTCACACTAATATAAAGAAAGTCCAGCGTTTATACATAAAGAGTACATGGACCAGCACTTGAGAGATTAAGGTATGAGGATCACAAGTTCAAGGCTAACCTGGGCTACATTGTGAGTTCAAGGCTAACCTGAAATTCCTAGCAAGAACATATCTCAAAAAAAACAAAACAAAACAAAACAAAAAAAAACCCAAAACAAGAAAGAGTTCGCAGAAGGTGCCAGACTATAATGAACAAAGGAGGGACCAGCGAAAGATGATTTAGCTTTAAACACTGCTGACTTCAGGTGGAGAATTCTAGGCTGCTTGCTGGGCTCTCACCAAGTCCTGGAGCTCTCGCAGTTGCTTTCCTGTCAGTCCCCCAATGCCCAGGTCCTCCTCATCCTCTTCTGGCTGGGCACTGATATTGCCAGAAGATGGACCCTGTTTGATAAAGAACTCTTCATACTGGTCCAAGAGAAGTCCGTGAAGCATCCAGGCTGAGAGCTGCTTATACATGACCCCATGACACACCGCCAGGACTCTGAGGAGAGGAGGAAGTGAGAAGTTTAGAACTTCATCTGGAGAATCCCAAACCCTGCCAAGGCCATGCATTTTATTATGGGGTTGTCTTCCAGTGGGTTTATAGTTTATCCAGTGAACATATCTTTATTTAGCTTTTCTTCTATTGCTAGTAATTTTCTAATTTCCCAATATAGAAGACAACACTGCAGTGAACATATCTGTACATAGCTATTTCCTTCTTTTAAATAATTTTGTTAGAAAAAAAATTCCTGAATGGCATAACAGATTAAATATCAATACCTTTAAGAACTCCTAGTACATGTATATGAGCATAGCAAGCAGGACCTTGTACACATAAATGGAAATCCTACAAGAAAACGTGCTCCAGAAGTTAAAAATGACAGCCTGGAGGTGACCCAGCAGCTAATCCTGACTCTGATACTGATATGGATTTCTCTGCTCATGGGGCTTGTCTAGCCAGGTCATTAACTCTCCCCTCACCCCAACCCGAATTAAATCTCGGCATACTTTTCTAATGCACTTCGAACAGGAGGCAGACCCCCACAGCTGTGTTTGTAGACTGTTTCCAGGATCTGACAACCATGAATCTGTGGAAAATACGGCCTTGTTAAATTGGATTCTTTTAAATAGTTCACTGAATACAAACTTATATTCTATATCCCAAGAGGGAACAATCCAGTAGGAATGGAGATAAACGGTCTTAATACGATTTCCACATTGTGGCTCTCAGACAGACCTCTCCTGCCAGCAGCATCAGTATTACCTTTGGACTCAGGAGGGTGCAAAGTATGGCAGGGCTCAGCATTCTGTCTCCACCATCCTTCCCAGAGAGTCTATCACACAGCAAAGTGCATGGGAACCAGTGCTCCAAGGAAATCACAAGCATTTAAGGTTGGCATTCTAAAGCCAAGAAAAGCTCACTTTTTCTGGTTCAGACCGCTAAAGATACATACTTTCTCCCAAATGCACTGCCTCTATGTCCTTCATGCTTTTTTTTTTTGGTACCGGGGATCAAACTCATGACTGCACGCTTGCAAGGCAGGCGCTTATGCTGCTGAGCTAAATCCCCAGCCCCTGTCATGCTTTTTAAAAGATGGTATCATTTATATAACATAAAGCCTATCTAAGTTTTTAATTTTTGGCACTGTGTAGCCATCACCATAATCCAGTTTCATAACTCCCATCACTCCTAACAATCTTCTGTGTGCTTATTTGCAATCGAGCTCATTCTCACAGTTAGCCTGTGCTCTTCACCACCTCATACTTCAAAGTCTGTATACAGCCTGTGCACACCAGTTTCTCTATGATCATCCTGTAGGCAGGAAGATTCATTCACCTACAATCCTACTCTTCATGTCCACTCTTCTTCCCTAGCCGATGGAAACTAAAATGTCAACTAAGATGTGCAGTGGCGCAGGGAACCCTATGCTCTCACCACTGTTCCACTCACCTAGAAGATCCCTTTTCACTTTGGGAATAGGGTAATATATGATCTACAGCAGTCTTCGAATGTTAGCTAGACATGGGTTTATATCCCAGCTCTGCCATTTGCTCCATCTGTGTAAACTCGTCACAGCCAAGTGCCTGGTATACTCAAAAGAGGATGACAAAGCTGCATTTGTCACTTGATAAGCACAATCTATTTTGAAGGGCCACAAATAGCTGCTTCCAGGTTTTGTGAATTCAACATGTATATAGCATAGTATTTTAAGTTTCCTTGTCACAGAGCAAGTTTAGCAACGTGACAAATTAACTGATTAATTATTTTCATTAGGGTACACATTCTTAATAAGCTAAGGCACAAATTTAAGAATTTAAAAACATGGAGACTAGAGCTAAACATATTTAACCCATTTGTCCATTTGGTTCAATAGAACAAATTTTTCTTTTAATGTAAAATTCCAAAGCATTTATTCTTCACAGTTATTAACTATTCCCAGAAAAGACATTCTTGCAATATTCTTTCAATGCATATGATGAAAGCTTATGACAAAAATACAGTATCTGGGTTTTACTAAGTGATTTCATAATTCTCAGAAAATGGCTAGCACTTTAACCATAAACTTAGCACCTTATTTCTAAGGATCATCTTTCTGCTTTTCCTCAAGACCCACACTTTACAGTTCTAAAACATTACTGCAAATTGCACGCACCTCCAAACTTCCATGGCATTTTTTTTTCACTCCAGCAACATTTCCTTTCTTTTGAACAAGGATGTGCTTACAGACAGAACAATATCTTATTTTTTGCATTCTTGACACTTCGCATGATATATAAATAGATAATTTTGAATGAATCAACAATAAAAACTAAAAACTAGGGTCTTCTAAAAAGAATATAGGGCAATATTTCTTTTTACCCAAGGAAAAAGGAAAGTTCTCACCTTTTGACTTTTAATTTGCTCTACTACAACCATCACAGAGGGAAAAAGGAGCTGAAACTGCAAAGTAAACAATAAGGATATATAATCAAATGTGGTAGAAAAATAAATTCAGGAAATGCTTCTGTTTTTGTGTAGCCCAACTTAAGATAAATGGCAATATTCTGAACAGTCAAGATCTACTATCCTAAAATAATCTGATTAGGAGGTTAGGTACAAACAGGAAAAGGTGGCAGACAGAAGATATTCGCATGTCAGAGGCTGGCATAACTGTCAATATTGATGTCACTAAAAAAGCACCAATATGAGACGTAAGTATTCATTTAATTGGGAACTTTAAGTAGTTCTGATCTAGTAAAGTATGCAAAAGGCATACAATGTAAAATACTGGATTCTGCTGTCATAAGTTCTCAAAAACAGTGTCATAACTTAAGTTATTCTAATATTATCAATGAATTTCAAGGCATTTTGTTATTTGGGTAGCATACCTGATCTAAGGAGTAATTGACATGTGATATGGAGAGATGAGGGTCAGCCAGGAACTGCAATTAAAAACAGAATCTGATTAGGAATCCACTCAAAATACCTTGAACCAGTCTGAGGTATGAAAACTAAAAATGAATCTGAGAATAGGCTTTTATACAGCTCCAGGCTATATAAAACTAATAACTTATATGCCATTATTATATTTTAGGTAATTAAAAAAAACAAAGTCAGAACTCTTATATACTCACAAACCTTTGCCATGATCTACAAGCAATTCTGTCCCTGGCATGGGAAATCACAGACAGAACACTGCACCCACTCCAGTTACACAGGACATAGCTAAGTCTTACCTACTTGACCTTATCAAAGGGCATCTCAAATTCAAGAACACATTCAAAGCTGCTGTCCCAGAGGTACTACACTTCTTTCTTACCTCTTGTTCCAAATCAAGTAGTGCTTGGCGATAAGGCTGCAAAACTGAATCTAGCCCTGTGCAGAAGGCCCTTAAGTAGATTCCATGTAACCCGCCTTGGCCCTGCTGAGATGGGTGGTGATCCTAAAATCAAGCAGAGAGAAGTCAGCTTCTTAGCTCAGGCCCTAAACTTTAGCAGACATTGTGCTTGGGAAGATATTATCCTTTGCCAGTGGTATGTTTTTGTATAATGATTCCATATCAAAGCAATGCTTCAGTGAGAGAAAACTCAGATGAAGATTTTTACCACAGACATTTAATTTAATTTAAATTTAATTTTGCATACTGGGGATTAATCTTAGGGCCTTCACTGAGCTATAACTCCAACCCTTTTTTATTTTTTGAGACACAGTCTTGTCACTTAGCTGTCCAGACTGTGATCAACTTGAGATCTTCTTGTCTCAGATTCCCAGAGCTGAGACTACAAGTATGTGCCACTATGCCCAGCTCCTCTGATCTTTTAAAAGGTGGTATTTCAATTTTTGAAACAGTCACCAGCGTTGTAACCAAATAGACAAGCACTCTATATCAGTGAAGGTTTTTTGTTTCCAGCTTAAAACCCTCAGTTGCTTTCCAATACCAAAAGTAATATCCAAATTTATCTGGCCCATTTCTATTTCTCCAAAATTATCTTTCAGTTTCCAGCTGCACCTCATTTTCAGACCCCCTATAGTTCACCAAATGTGCCTTGCTTCTATTTCTTGCTGCTGTGAAAACTGGACTCCTGCTCTGCTTATGACTATGTGCCTCGCCTTTCTGACAAACACCCACTGTTCCTGCAAGACCCAGTGAAAGCATTTCTCCACAAAGTCCTCTCTCTCTCACTAGGATTAACAGCTTCACTTTGCTGCTTTAATGCTATTTCTACTTAATGCTGGAATTGTACTTTTGTTTAAATGTCACCCTCACTAAAGTACAAGATAAGGTATTTGACTCATCTTTGTATCTCAGCTCATACCACAATCCTTTGAACCAGGCAAATATTTTACTGAATAAAAAATGAACTCAGTCCTTCTTAACCTCCCATCTCCTGCCTGACTTAGCAATTCACCAATAATATGAATCTGGTGGCCAATGTTGGGGGTGTAAGACTCTCATCATGGATCATATACAAATATAGCTTATCTTTTAGGAAACCAGCAAGTTTTTGTTTGTTTGTTTGGTTTTTGTACAAGTGGTTACTGGCTAACTAGAAGCTATAAATAGGTTTTCTGGCTATGTACTGGCTTGGATGATCAGGCCCTGGGAGTAGTCAGTTGGACAGAAGAATTCAGCATCAAATGTGGCAGGAGGCTCAGGCTCAGGAGTCAGAAAGCAGGGTATAGCTAGTGGCAGTTCTTGAAGATAAACATTCACAGCCACACTAAGACCAACATGGACATGGGTGAAACAGAACAGACTGGCTTACAACCAGCCAATTTGTTCTAATCTTAGGTCATTTCAGAAAACTGAACAATTTCATTTTTTTACCAAATTAAAGAAGAAATAAGTACTTTTTTAAAAGAGGTACTACAGGTATCTAGAATTTGGAAAGATAGGAACTCACATATTACATGACATAACATAGTCATCAAAATACAGGAGAGGCTGATTTTTCTTTCTCTTTTTACAAAACAATTAGAGACATTGCCTTGACTTGAATATTTCCAGTGATGAGAAATTCATAATTTATTTCATAGGGCTCCCCAGTGAGTTCACTGAAAGCACAACAGAAGGTCCTGCCTTCTGAGGGTACACATCCCAGAACAGGGTCCCACCTGTTGCTGCACATGGCTTGTGTACTGTTCAATGAACTCGGTGAAGCGGATATAGTCTGTGCCAAGCCGGCAGAGTCGGTTGAGGACACTGGTCTCACTGGGATGGAGAAATGGGAAATCCTGGGACACCTGTAAGAAAACGGACAATGACAAAAAGATAGATGGCTGTTAGTCACTGTTCTGCATTCTTAGGATACTGCAAATGCTTTACACTATCTGCCTTTTCCTTTTGTATTATTTTTTTTTCCTTAAGATGACCACTTAAGGTTGGTTAATTCTGATAGCAAAAGTATTTCTAAACATCTCAACCTAATGGCTTGCTTATTAAAATAGGTACCATACGGTAAAGAATTCAAACAATACAAAATGGTGTGTAATAACAATGAGTTTGCTACAGCAAAGTCTCATCAGCAATAATGTTCAAAAAGGGATCTGCAGACCCCAAGGGTTTTTCAGATATACAGTCAGGATTTATAGACAATCTATGAAATTGAAATTTTTTTTTCACGCAAATAAAAATCTAAAATTAATGTAAATATATTTAAATATATAGAAATAGCTTATTACTGGACATATAAATTTATTTAAATTTGCATTTTGTTGAGGTCTAGATCTAAAATGTCCTCTAAAAATGCTGTGTTCAGAGAAGGGGCTTTGGGAAGGTGACCAAATCTTGGATTAATCCACTGATGAGATCATAATCTGATAGCACTATTGGCAAATGACAGAAAAAGGAAGTGGGACCACATAGAAGAGAGCAGATCATGTAGGCATGATCCAGGGGACTATACCTGGTTGCCAGGCCTTTTTCTTGCTTGCTTATTAAGCAACTTCCCTCTGCCACACCCTTCTGCCATTAATTATTCTCTCATCACAGGTCTAAAGCAAGGGGGCCAGCTAACCTGTGAGCTGAAATAAACCTTTTCTCCTTTTAGCTATTTCTGTCAGCTATTCTACCATAGTGATGAAAAGGTAGCACACATTTGTATTTTTAATTTAAATGAAAAGGTCAAATGACAACTTAATATGCTATAACAAAGGTTTAGAGTTGTTCAAGTTGAAAAAAGTACTGGAAAAATATATTTTTTCAACCAACTTCTTAAACATGACATATACATGATATGTTTATGGTAAAATACGCATGACGTTTTAGCCACTTTTAAATATAAACTTCAATGGCGCTGAAGTGTATTCACACTGTTCTGCAACTATCACTACCATCCATCTCTAGAACTTTTTCATTTACCCCAACTGAACCACTGTATCCATTAAATGTTAACTCCCCACAGTCCTCTCTCCTTCCCATGGAAACTACCACTCTATTTCTGTTTCTATAAATTTGACTACTTTAGTTACCTCACAGAAGCAAAATCATTCCATTTTGTACTTTTGTGACTGGCTTATTTTATGTGGCATAACATCTTTAAGGTTCACCTATATTGCAACATATGTTAGAATTCCCTTCCTTCCCACTATGCCAACATTCATATATAAAAGAATCAAATAAACTCAATGTTACCAACTTAATCCTAGGAAAACATATTCTGTGCCACACTGGATCTGAGTTTCTCAGTCAGGGGGAGTTGTGTTTCTTGTTGGGTGTCATACTGTGTGGTACTACTGGCAACTAGTGGGCAGAGACCCCAGATGTTGCCTACCATCCTATAGTGCAGTAGATAAAGCCCATGATAAAAGAACATGCAGACCAAAGTGCCAAAAGTGCCGAAGTTGAAAAAATTTTTTATAGTAGTATTAATTCAAATTTATTAATTTAGTAGTTTTGTTTACATTTACTTTATAAAATAATTTGCCTTTATAGTTAAAAGCATCATGCTTGAGTTTATACACAGCTTCAAGTGGACACATAATATGTGGACGTACAATATTACAATGAAAATAATTTTCATGAACATTGGATATCCATGATAATTTTTCCCTTTAATCAAATGTGAAAAACACTGCTCTGTGGGAAGTATGCAGTAGTTGCTGTTTTTGTCTTTTCCTCCACAAATTTCTGAACTCTTAGTATGTGGAAGGTGCTCACAGTACATGAATGAAGATCACCTTGTGTGGTCTTTGCCACCATAGGCAACCTATTTAGAAAAAGTCAGTAAGTAACCACAGTAAATAGTTGCTAATTGTGATAGTATCAGACAGAAAGAAATTGCTGTCACACAGAGTAATGGCATAAGGGAACGATTTAATTTAAAGATGTGGTCAGGAAACTTTCTGAGGTAACTGTGAAGCTGATATTTTATGAATGAAAAGGAGGAAAGTATCTGCTTAAGGCTTTTTTTGTAAGAAAGAAAGAAAGAAGATGATTTATTTGTGGCTCTCTTTTCAGCCTCTCCAACTATCTTACACTCTGTTACCTCTTTTACCTTGACATAGTTCAGCACCTACAAATACTTCTGAACATTTCCTCCAATGTAAACAGCATAGTGTTAAATTCCAGGGGGAAAAAGTGATATGTCAAGTCAGTCTTCAAAGATCTACATACCAAAAGTAATAATTCGAAAAACTCATTTAAGCTCCCAAACCCCAGATTCATATTCATAAAGAACAAGAAGAATCTGATGTATAGGTTTTATATACTAACAATGTAATTCTCTTCACAGCCTATATTTGCAGTTCTGCTGGCAACGTGATCAGACAGACGTAGATTCCTTTCCTTTTTTTTTTAAAGATAGGTCTTGTTTTGTAGTTTAGGTTGGCTTTAATCTCACTGTATGGCCCAGGCTGGCCTTGAACTCCTGAGAATTCTCCTGCCTCAACCTCCCAGAGTGTTGGGTTTACAGGTGAGCACCACCGCAACCAGTTTGAGATTCCTAGTCTTGCTGCTGCTAGGATTACCAGGTATAAAATGATTTGGGCTTCAAATTTGCTCATTTGCAACCAGGGCTAACAATACCCAAATTACTGAGAACATTAAGTGACATTACTATTTTTAGTACACGTGCTGCCAAAGCCAGCACTAGGTGACATCACTGAAGCAGAATTAGAGAATAGCTCAGATACTACAGCCAGATACAAACTGGGTTCAAAACTAACAGTGTGAGCCTAAGTTAATTTGTAAAATGAATATAGGTAGTTGTGAAAATATGAGATACTGCACGTGTGCAGTTTCTATCACATACACGTTTACATTTACATTTCTGTTTACAGGAAGCCCTGAGAATTCTACACCTTGTGCCGAAACTGCCCAGAAAAGGTGTAATGATTTTGGGAAACAATACACGCACTCGAACTTACTCAAGGAAAACTGATGAGGGCTTATGATGGGTTAAGCGCTGTGTATTTGGACTAAACTACAAAACTGTCTGAAGTAAAACGCAAGTGAAAATACAGAAGTGTCTCCCTTACACACACACCCCACTGAGAATTGAACCCGGGGTTTTTACACTAAGCTAAGCTTTAGTCTCAGCCCTTTTTATTTTGAGACGGGTCTCATTAAATCGCTAAATTCCCTGGGCTGGGCCTGAATTTCCCATCCTTTTGTCTCAGCCTTCCAGGATGTTGGGATTACAGGCAGGTGCCACCACGCGAGGTTTCCTCTCTCAATTTAATACGCATCCCACCACAGGCGGTGCGTCTGGGGTCTGCCTCCGTTTCTCATCCAGTCTCGAATGGCTCAGGAGTCTACAGTCTCTTCAGAACCCTGAGCACTGCCCTCCTGTCATCTGGCCAGGCCCCGCCCCAAGGTGTCTCGGACTCCAAAAGACGCTGGCTCCCAGATTTTCCCGCTCCTTGCTAATTAGTACCTGCAGGCCACTGCGCTTGTTCCAGGTGAAAATGGACCCTGGGTATCCGCTTAGAGCCAGGAGCAGTTCGTGGATCATCCCCCAGCAGACTTGGGAGGCCCTGGATACGTCGTCCTCTCCTCCAGCACCCCTCCAGCCGACAGCCGGGCACAGCACTCTTCTTTTTATAAGGACCCGCGCGTGATACAGTCTAAGCTCACAGGATCCCTCAGCAGGAGGAGCAGAAGCGCGGCGGAGGCGGGGCCGAAGTCGCGTCCCGGAAGTGCGCGGCCTCGGGGGACCCACTCTTTTTCCACTATCCTGGCGCGCTTAGAGGGAGGCGCAAGAGTTGCCATTGCGCATGCGCCCTCGGGGTCCCGCGCCGCCCGCTCGCACTTCCGGCTGGGGAGTCGGACTGGGCACCCGGAGAGCTGGGCTGGGCCGGACCCTGAGGGGGTGAGGCTGGCCCGGGGGGCAGGGTTGCAAGTGAGCCGAGGGGCAGCCCGAGAGGGACATGCGCCCGGGCGCGGGCCAAGTTACCTTCAGGGCGCCTCAGTAAGGTATGAGGCCTCTGGAGGAACTGCTGTCCTGAGCGTCTGAGTGACCCGGCCGGAGGGCGCGAAGACAAAAGAGGCCGGAACGCCTCAGCCGCCGCTCCCGCACCCTACAGCTCTCGGAGTCCCGCCACGGCCGCACTCATCCCAGAAGACCCCTGCTTACTGCCCCTCGGGCCCGTCCCTCCACGGATCAGTGTGACTTTCACAAGCCCGGACCCGGGTCTCGCTCGCTCCAGGAGCTACCCAGCTTCTTTCGACGCGCGAGGCCTCCCGTCATTAGTCCCACACCCTCACTGGTCACTCCTGCTGCGAGGGAAAAACACACGCCCGGCGTTCAGCCCTCTAGTTTGTATGGGGCAGGAATTGATAGTTCAGAGTCTGAGGGGCGGGGCAGATGGAGAGGGCGGAAAGGGGAACCGCAGAGGTCCACGGGGGCTTCCACTGCTCTTCCTGGGCATCCTACGTAACAACGACACCTTAAGATCCTCTCAAGCTCCAGGTGTCCCGCATCATTCGAACTCACTGTGCAACACTGATCTGGGAAGTTTAGTGTGCTCAGATGTGGGAAAGGCAGGATAGGCGCAGACAGTAGTTTTGTCTTCCAGCAGCTTCTTGATACTGCCTTAATTGTGGCCCAAAAATACAGCTTTTGAAAAGTCCTTGCTCATTGTCGACTTGCCCTGAAGATGGTGCTGCCTCACGTGAGCCAGCTCCAGCAAGACTTAGATATATAAATATATTGATGGTGCCATCTCTCTCTACTCTAGGAAGCAACTCCCCTTACAGAGAGAGCCTTATCTGCAGTTGACTCTCCAAGGACATGGGAAGATAGGTATCACTCCTGGAACCCAGGCCCTTAAGTGGAAGAATGATGGCCAAACCCACTCTGAGAGAAAAGGGCACCAACTCTGAAGCCTTCCGCCAGCGCTTCAGGAGGTTCCATTACCAGGAGGTGGCTGGGCCCCGAGAGGCTTTCAGTCAACTCTGGGAACTTTGCTGTTCTTGGCTAAGGCCAGAGGTTCGCACCAAGGAGCAGATTGTAGAATTGTTGGTGCTAGAGCAGTTCCTGACCATCTTACCTGGAGAGATCCAGAATTGGGTACAGGAACAATGTCCAGAGAGTGGAGAGGAGGCAGTGACTCTGGTGGAAGATTTAGAAAGAGGACCTGGAAGACCTGGATGTTCGGTGAGAAGGGAGGGTAGATTAGAACTGGGAAGGGGCAAGGTATAAATTTAAAGTATAAACAGTCTCCCTTATACTTCTGATTTAGCAATACTTTTCTAGGGTAACTTTTTCAGATAGCACATGTCTGGAGTGCTACCTGGATGTGTCATTGTATACCCTAACACAATGTTGTTTTCAATTTTACTAATTCTCTATTTACTAGAGAATGTTTCTCAGCCTGTAGTTAGGTTTACCATTTTGATTTTTGCCTTCTGGAGTTCTAGAGGCTGTAAACTGACGTATTGGAGTAAGACCCTTTGCTGTAACCTCCTCACACCTGTGCTGTAGATTGCTTTTGGCTTATTAAATAGTCTCTGGGCTTGTTCCTCATAACCTTGCAGTGACAATAAATGGGTCTTGTTTCCAGGTCACAGTCTCTGTGAAGGGGGAGGAAGTGTGTCTTGAGAAGATGACAACTCTAAAATCATCACAAGAGTTATTGAGTGTTCAGCAGGAATCAGTGGAACGTCAGCCCAGCAGTGGACCCAAGAAAGAGAGGGCAAGAAGCCCCTATCTGGGACTTCAGGAGCAGATGAACCCAAAGGAGAATCTCAGACATTTTCAAAGGAGCGGTGAGGAGTAGACCCAGGGGAAGACAGAATGCCATTCTAAGTTGGGAAGTAGGGTTGGAAATTTTGAGTGGGAAAAGGATTTTAGGAATAAATGGAATTGTAGGATATGTAGTGGGAACCCTCTGAAGACATGTACTTTAGCCATCTGGTATAGTAAGTATCCTTATATATCTTCTTTTGATAAGTGTTAGAGAATGGCTCCCTAGTTTTTAATCAGAATCTAAGACTATTTTATTTCCTCTTGATAATGGATAGAAATTTCTAGATAGAAATTATTTTCTATACCTAAAAGGACATCTTTCTTTTAGCTCCAAATTATATTTGTCTTTTTAAAATTTCAAATTAGGGCCAGGTGTGGTGCTGCATGCCTGTAATTCTATCACTAGGGAGGCTGACATACGATGATCGATTTGAGTCTGAGGTCAGCCTGGGGTACTCAAAGCTAGCCTGAACTATGTAGTGAGACCTGTCTCAAAAAATTTTTTTTGCCCCATAATATCCATTCTTTAGACATAAGTTTTTGTCACTTTCAACTTTGGAATTTTTTAGGAACTAAATCACATATATTCTTCTAGTGAGGGTCTGTTAGATAGCAGCTTAATAAGAATTTTAGTTTAGAATCCCATAGCATCTTTAAATGTAGGCCAGTTTATGATTATGTGATCATTTATATTCATCTGGTAACTCCTAGAACTCTTACAGCTTTCCCCAATGCCTTTGTACCTATTTGTTTATCATTATACTTGATTTTGTAAAACTTGTTTTTCTTCTTTATACTGTTAAACTCCATTTTGTATTTTTTTTTTGATCATTTCATAGAAACTTGTTGAGGTTGTTTTGGATTCTGATATTATCATCCAAGATTGATAGCCTTCTTTACCTGGCTGAGAATGGTCGCTAGTTAACTAAATGAAATTCTTTAATTGGACACACAGACTTGCAGAATTGATCCTTCAACCTCACATGCATCAACTCAGTCTTTCATGCGCTCAAAACTCTGCAAGGAAGGCTTCTTGAGGGCACTAGCAAAGACAGGTTCTAGAATAATGGGGTGAGTTTGGATTGGAAGAAGGGATTAAAGGAAAGGCACAGAGGATGAATAAAAGTGTACTGTGTTCTGGAGAGAAGAAAATAACAGGAATGGACAGTGTATGCTAGGCACTAATGTTAAAAGTTCACCAGGGGCTGGAGGTTTAGCTCAGCGGCATAAGCGCCTGCCTTGCAAGCAGGCAGTTGTGAGTTCAATCCCCGGTACCGATAAAAAGGAAAAAGACAAAAAAAAAAAAAAAAAAAAAAAAAAGTTCAGCAGACTAGCATATGAGCTGAGGAAGTAAAAACTTGGGAGTTCAGTAGGACAGTGGCTGTTGCAGTTATCTGGGAGGATCAGGGGTCTAGACCTGGGTGGTGGTAGTAGGAATATAGAGAAAGCATGTAGCAAGGGAAACACCTTAAGAATCTGATGACTGAGTGTGAAGGAAACTGAAGAGTTGAAGACAGTCTTGTCTCCTTTCAGTCTTGAAGTTACTGAGTTTAATTCTCTAATCCCCAGTGAAGAAAAATAGAACAGGAAGTGGCTATTCCTAGCAGTGCTACTTCCTAACAACAAATAATCTGGAAAGCAAGGGAGAAACTTGGAGTAGAATTATCTGCTTTGTACATACAGCAGAACTCTTCCTGTCTTGTCACTCTGTTCTGGACAATAAAATATTTTTCATTTTTTGAGGTTTCCTTTCTTTAACCCACTGAACTTCCTGAAACCATTATTTTAGATAACATTTTAGGATCTCTTTGATAAAAGGCAGAATTGAATTCAGAGATGTTTTACATGGTCATGTCAGACAATGATACTTTTTGTTTGCTTCCTTGAAAGCAGGACTTCCATTTTCTAAGTCTGGTGTGGTCTCCATGTTGGAGCAAGGTAAGCTGTGGATTCCAGATCTGGGCTCCAAGGAGAAAGAAGTCCCAAGAGGCAGCAACACAGGAGATAGACCAGTGCATGCTGACCTGTTGCCACCCAAGAAAGAGAGGAGAAACTGGATGGAACAAGATCACTGGGGCTTCGAGGATGAGAAGGTGGCTGGTGTACACTGGGGCTATGAAGAGACCAGAACTCTCTTAGCAATTCTCAGCCAGACTGAACTTTATGAGGCTCTCCGAAATTGTCATAGAAACAGTCAAGTGTATGGGGCTGTGGCCGAGAGACTGCAGGAGTACGGCTTCCTCCGGACCCTGGAACAGTGTCGGACCAAATTTAAAGGTCTTCAGAAGAGCTACAGGAAAGTGAAGAGTGGCTATCCACCTGAGACCTGCCCCTTCTTTGAAGAGATGGAAGCCCTGATGAGTTCTCAGGTCATTGCCCTGCCCAGCAATGGCCTGGAAGAGGCAGCCTCTCACTCTGGTCAGGTGGGCAGTGATGCTGAGCCAGAAGAGCCCCAGCAAGGGGTTTGGCAGTATGAGGAGGAAGCAGAAGAGGCTCAGGCTGATGAGTCTGACAGTGATGAAATGGACGTAGAGGCCACTTCCCAGGACCCTGATAACTCAGCTGCACCTGTAATGTTCCGAAGTCCAAGTGGTAAGAAGTTTTTCTTCTTGAGATTTTGGGATTAGACAGCAACCAAACGTGGAGAAGTCATGAGGCTGTCACCTGCCAACTTGGCCTATCAATAGGAAACAAATGCATTTCTCAATTCTATGTGTATGTCATTCTTTTTTGCAAGAGAATTAGATAATAGTAAGGAATAAATTGATTTTTGAAAGAAGTATACCTAGAAAATTCAAGCTTGTCTTGAAAAAGAATCATACTCTTTATTGTAATATTTTCCTCAATTATAAAATCATTCCTAGCTGACTACATGTGTACTTCATTGTCTTTTTCATTCTTTTTTCCCTTCACTGACATAGATAAGTATAGATGAATCATAAATTTGGCTTATGTGCTAAATGGTATTATTTTTGTTTTTTTCATCTTTTCACTTGCTTTTTCTGTTTTCCAACTCTTTCCTAATTACTCACTGTGAGCAGAAGAAAGATAATGGAAAGAAAGTAACATCCAGCTGACTGTCAAGTGGAAGTGTAGGTGAACCCTCTTTCTTTCCACTCTGGGTACCTTCAGGAAGCAAAGACTGTATTCATCCTGGCAGCACTATTGGCATGTGTCTAGGCCAATGGACAGTTTGCTCTTGCTTCCTTCCTCACTGTGGCTCTTGTCAGTCTTTCACTCCATGGATAACATCTGTGACTATAAGCCCTTGTTTTATACCCTTCAAGTCTTTATGTAGCTGGCCTGCTTAACTGAGATCATGGCAAGTGAAAGGCCTTAATAGGGATTTGGCACTAGTGTGAGTCTGAAAAAGGCAATTCCCAGGGTTTTAAGTCATTCTGTGGTAAACTGAATTTATAAGGAATTCACTGATCAGAGAAGTTTGGTATGACACATTGGGGCTGACAGCCACTAGTTGTGGGTTTTCTTCCCCTTACTAGTGATTTTCTAATAAGATTCAGAATTCCATAAAAACCAGTAGAAGGATGGGAAAATGCATTTTACACACTTGACTCAGTATACATAATACATGATTGTTTTAGTGATTAGGTGAAAAGGCTTCCCAACAGTAATAAAATTTACAAAGTTCTCTGTGCAATTGCTAAAGGATAGATGCAAGCAAAACATTCTCTGATGAGTTTGTTATAGATGGGAGCCTAAGGTTAGGTAATTTTCCTTTTTTCCTTTTTGGTGCTGGAATTGAACCCAAGGCCTTATGCATGCCAAGCACATACTGTTCTACTTAGCTTTTGCCTCCAGCCTTAGTGACCTACTTTTCATCCTCTCTTTTTTCCTACAGCTATATCTCTAATTCTTTTTATTTTGAGACAGGGTCTCACTAAATTGCCCACACTGGCCTAGAACTTGAGATCCTCATTTTGTTTCCTACATTAGGTGTGAGCACCACATCTGGCTTTTCTTCTAATTTTTGTTTACTTGTGCCAAGGTCTCACCATATAGGCTGGATGGCCTTGAACTCATTGTGTAGTCCACACTGGCCTTAAACTCATGATTCTCCTGCCTTAGCCTCCTGAATGCTGCTATTACAGGCAGGTGCTCAGCCTTTTCTTGATGCAGGTCATAAGATTGGGAAATTGAGGCTCTAAAACTGTGGATTCAGTGGTACTGAAATTCTTTCCTGATGGCAGGTGTACACTGGGGCTACGAAGAGACCAAGACTTACCTTGCAATTCTTAGTGAGACTCAATTTTATGAAGCCCTCCAGAACTGTCATCGAAACAGCCAGTTATATGGAGCAGTGGCTGAGAGGCTATGGGAACATGGCTTCTTCAGGACCCCAGAGCAGTGTCGGACCAAGTTTAAAAGCCTACAGACCAGTTACCGGAAGGTCAAAAGTGGCCAAGCACGAGATACCTGCCCCTTCTTTGAAGAAATGGATGCTCTGGTTAGTGCCCAGGTTGCTGCTCCATCCAGTGGTGGCAAAGAAGAGAAAACAGCTTCTTACCTTATCCAGGGGGCCAGTGATGCTGAAGCTGAGAAGCAAGGTGTGGACACAGAAGAGGCCATAGATAAAGATTCTGATGACAATGAAGAGGATACTGAGATACCCCCAGGGGCTGTCTTAACCCATGCTCCAGTCTTATTCCAAAGCCCCAGTGGTAAGATTCTTTCCTTCTTATGGGATAAGAAACAAAAGGGAGGAAATGGGATTTAGGAGAATAACCATTAGATTGAGAAAGGGCCTTTATACCCAGCGTCCATGGCTTTTTATCTACCTTATCCTTTCCCCATGTTTCCCATCTATCAAAGCAGATAGATCTGTGAGGGGAATATGTTATTCATGTGCCTTTTGGCTTCCTCATACTACAGCATCAATCTGAGATAGCTGTGAACTTTGTAAATTGGTTGTCATTGATGCATAGCCTACTAGAATTCCAATTTATCTAGGAAACCTGAAAGCTAACATTTCTCAAGTAGCATGTCATGTACTCATGATACGAGTTGATTTTAGAAGTTCATTTTTATTTGCTTCTGATTTCATATTGTATATCAGCTGTATGTCAGCTTTATTCACACATATGAAAGCCTGACAACTCTTTTCTTCAGACATACTTTGCAGAAATCTGAAGTTTCTATGGGAACTGATTAGGTAAATAATTAGCTGATTTTATATATATATATATATTCAACATGGCTTCCCTCGTAAGAAGAATAGTTCTGATTTTGCAATCATACATGTATATGTGTGTCAATCTGAGCTGTGTTAACTAAGTACCCCCAGGTTTGCTTATATACTAAGACCTTGGGCTGGAGATGGAGCTCAGTAATAGAATGCTTTTCTAACATGTAAAAGGTGCTGGGTTTGATCCCTAGCACTGAAAAATGAAAATAGCAAAAATCCAATTCATAGAATTGATGTATATGAGGTACTATGTGAAGCAACTGTTGTAGTGCCTGGACATATAGTAGGTATTCAATAAATAATAGTTTTAATTTCTATAAATCTTTTAAATCAGTATGCTTTAAGGATGTTACATGAAGAATCACTTACATGGGATATTAATATGTTGTACAAAAAATTACTTTTAGGTTTGGGAAATTCTAAATAGCTCTCTTGGAGGCTCACAATATGTATTCATGTAACAGTAATACCTCGGTTCACAAACATTTCTGTTCACGAACAATTCAGTTCGGAAACAGAAGTGTTTGGCAAAATTTTGCTTCCATTTGAAAACTCTGCATTGGGGTGATGAACACGACTGGGCCATCCTCCTTGCACAAACACGAATGCAGCCATCTTTCCTGCTCTGACACGTGGTCATGGCTTCCTCTAGTCGAGATTGTGGTCATAAACAGACCTGTGCACACTTGCTGTGAAGCTTTTTTGTTTGCTTTTTAGCACATACAGTACTGTACAGTATTATTCAATCCAGCATGGCTCCAAAGAAAGTGCAGAGCAAGCATGGTGGTAGAAAGAAAGTGCAGAGCAGTGATGAAGGTAACAAGAATGCACAGAGAAAAAATGAAGGTAACAAGAACGTGCAGAGCAAGAATGGTAAGAAGGTTCTGAAGAAAATAACTATTGAATTGAAGAAGAAAATTGTAGAAAAGCATGAGCATGGTATTCGTGTGACTGATCTGGCCTTAGAGTATAAGATGGCAAAGTCAACAATCTCGACTATTTTGAAGAATAAAGATGCCATCAAGGGAGCTGATGTGGCAAAGGGAGTAACAACATTAACCAAGCAGAGGACACAAGTGCTGGAAGAGGTGGAAAAACTTTTGTTGGTGTGGTTGAGTGAAAAACAGCTGACAGGTGATAGAGTTAGTGAAGCTATGATCTGTGAAAAAGCCAGGAAACTGTATAGTGATTTACTGCAAGAAAATCCCTCTGCAAGTGCAACAAGTAATGAGTTTAAAGCCAGTAGAGGGTGGTTTGATAAATTCCGCAAAAGAAGTGGCATCCACAGTGTGATGAGACATGGTGAGGCTTCCAGTTCTGCCAAGGCCAGAAGCTTACAGTAAAAAAAATTCATGGAATTCAAGAAGCCAAAAGGACACATTACTCAACAGGTGTTCAACTGTGATGAAATGGCTCTTCTGGAAGAAGATGCTGAACAGAACCTATACATACAGGAGAAAAAGGCACTGCTGGGGCACAAACCCATGAAGCACAGATCGACACTTTTGCTTGTGTGAGTACAAGCCCCAATCTGAAGATTAAGCCACCACTAGCGTACCATTCCCAGATCCCTCATGCATTTAAGGCACAGAATATGAACAAGGCCAGACTGCGTGGTCTGAGGAGGGCTAATGCAAAAGCTTTGGTCACAAGGCAATTGTTCATGGGATAGCTGCATAAAGTGTACCCATAATTAGGAAATATCTTTCTGTCAACCAACTGCCTGAAAGTGCCTTCTGATGGACACTGCCCTGCAAATCCTCCAGCTTTAGTGGGCAATACGGACACTGAGTAGAACCATACCAAGACAGTACCTCCCCGCAACGCAACACCTTTTCTGTGTCCCATGGCCCATCAAGTGATCTGCAACTTTAAGCAGCTGTACACAAAGGTGCTCTTCATTGGGTATTTTAATGTCGTTGAAAAGATGTTCTTGACTCTGAAATAGTTCTGGAAGAAGCATTTCAATGTCCTCCACTGCATCAATATTACTGATAAAGCCTGGGAAGATGTTGCACTGGATCTTAAAGTCAACCTGGAGGAAATAGGCCAGAACATGTCACTGAACACGACTTTGAGAACATGACTCTGATGCACAGGTGATGGAGTATACCATGTCCGTGGGCAAGAGTAATGGTCTGGATGTCAATGGTGCAGGCATAGAAGAGCTTGTTGAGGACCATAAAGAGGGAGCTGAGGATGGAAGAGCTTGCTGAACTCCAGAGTGAGCAGCAGAAGGTGTTTGTTGAGGAGCACTCCACTGAGGATGAAGAAGACAGGGAGGAGGTTAGCAGTGACTGATGTGATAAAATCCATTATGGAAAAGTAGAATGAGTCCCCAGATTTCTTTGAGAAACATCACCCCCACATAACTGTAATGAATAGTGTTGAATCTGGTGAATGATAATCTAGTCTCTCATCTCTGGAAGGTTATGCAGCGCAGGAAAATATGACATTAGACAAAAATAGACCTTGCAGCTAAGAGACGAAGAAAGGAAACCTCTAAAGGAGATCTCTCTGATGTCCTTATGGAGGGGGACTTGCCCTCCAAACAATAACTTTCCCACCCACCTTGCTGTCCTCCATGACAGAAGTGGCCTCAAGCAAGGTTAGTGTTCTCTCTCTTCATAGTGTATGGTACTGTACTTTGTTTCATATTTTTGTGGTTAAAAATATACCTATGGTTCAAAATGGGTTAATCTTATTTACACTGAACCTTATGGGAAAGATGTTTCAGTCAGCAATCATGTTAATAGAGGTCAGAACAGATTAACCTTATTTACATTGAAACTTATGGGAAAATTTGATTTGGTTCACGACCAGTTTGGTTCATGACCTGAACTGCTGCACAAATTAAGTTTGTGAACCAAGGTATCACTGTTCTTAAGGTTCTGTTAATTTAATGACTATTACATGAAACATCTAATAAGACTTAGGCTTCTGGGTGGAGATACTGCTTTAGGGAGGTACTGACACTCAGCATTCTTTTACTCCTAAATTTAGTTCAGGGAATTTAGAATCCAAAAATTTATCTGAAGCATCTAAGTGCAAATTCTTTAGCATAGGTCCACAGAAGCTGATATTTATCACCCCTTACGCCTTGAATACTAATGTCTATTTACTTTATAAAGTATTGAGTTTTATTTTGATTATAGAAGCCTGGCATTTGGCTCTTAGAATATTAAAAAGTTGCCTTAGAGAACACATTAGATTCTTTTGGAAGATAGTATTTTTCTGTAAGAAAGAAAAGTATTTTAGAGGGCTTTTGCCTTGCTTGCATAAGGCCCTGAGCTCAATCTCCAGTACCTCCAAATTTTAGAGATATTTCTTAGCAAAGTTTTCCTCTCAGAAGACCTTTTATTTGAAAAATAAATATTTTTCTAGTCATGTCATTTCCAGCATATATGGAATTTGAGGGAAAGGAAACTAAACAAAAATTCTTTCTGAATATAGAGATTTCCTAGGCAGTTTTCTTTAGAACATGAACATGGCAAAGAACATGAACAAGAATGTCATAAGCCTGGGATATGGCACAAATATGTTACAAAGTGGCTTTTCTATATAAACATGGTGTCCTCTAAAACCTAGTGTCTTGGTTACTTTTCTCTCATTGCTGGGACAAAATACTTGGCACCCAAAATGAAGGACAGGTTTATTTAGCTCACAGTTTGTGGAGGTTTCAGTCCATTATCACCTGGCTCCAAGGCAGGATGGCATGGCACCAGGGCAGTACTTCAAGAAAGCAGCCAGCAAAAGCAGGCAGACAAAAGAGAGAGAGAGCAAGCCTCTTTTCCTCCCATATATTGTACACAGGCCACCCCTACACACAGGGCAAGGGTAGCACTCATACCATTCGCATGCCTTCCTCTTGCACAGGCTGAGAATTAAAAAGAACCCTGGCTCCCTGCTGAGTCTGTATGTAGAACTTCTAAACTTCTCAAGTCAACACAATATATCACCATAACACCTAGTGAGTTTTTATTGCTACACTGAAAGGATTTCCTAATGATCCTGAAATGTTTTAGAGAATATGTCTGCCTGTTCTTACATAATTATTTATATGAAAAGCACATGAGAAGCTACTAAGTAGTAGAACATTGAAATTTTAATAATGGAAGTAATTTGGGATCAGAATTAAACATCTAATATAACACTTGTTTTTCCCATGTTTGCTTGTCCTGGCACTGTTAATTAAGGAAATAGGTAACTTTGTGAATTCTATTCTTTATGTCAGGTTTTGAGGCTGGATTCAAGAATGAAGAGAATCTAAAACAGGATATTTCTGAGGAAGTACAGCTGCACAGGACATTAATTGCAAGATCTGAAAGAAAAATTCCCTGTCATATTAATCAAAATAAAGGTAATGTGAGTGACTGTAGATCAGGAAGACAGTGGGAAAAAACCTCAGAGGACAAAAGAGGAAAACTGACCTACTCACAGGAGAGTTTGGGTAAAGTCCTAAGTCATCACAGACAATACGTAGGAGAGAGACCCTATAAATATCTCAGATGTGCCAAAAGCTTTGGCCCAAACTCCTGTCTAATAGATCAGATATCCCATGAGGTAGAAAACTCATACAAATGTACAGACTGTGGAAAAAGCTTCAGCCGGAGTGCACGCCTGATCAGACACCGAAGAATCCACACTGGAGAGAAACCTTACAAGTGTCTTGACTGTGGGAAAAGTTTCCGTGACAGTTCAAATTTCATCACCCATAGAAGAATCCACACAGGAGAGAAACCTTATCAATGTGTTGAGTGCGGGAAACGATTCAATCAGAGCTCAAGCCTTATAATTCATCAGAGAACCCACACAGGAGAAAAGCCCTATCAGTGTGAAGATTGTGGAAAAAGCTTCAATAATAGTTCTCACTGCAGCGCACATCGGCGAATACACACAGGAGAGAGACCCCATGTGTGTCCTGACTGTGGGAAGAGTTTCAGTAAAAGTTCAGACTTACGTGCACATCATAGAACCCACACAGGAGAGAAACCCTATGGATGTCATGATTGTGGCAAGTGCTTTACTAAAAGTTCTGCCCTTAATAAGCACCGGGAAATCCATACACGAGACAAGCTTCTGTCACAGCCAGTGCCTGAGTAAGCCCCCAAAGGAAAGAGCCTCTTTTTATGTATTGTTTGGAAAGCGTTCCAGTAATGATAGTCATCTGTTCTATGCCCAACTGGCTTAGGAAGTACTCCTTGGAATTTATGCCAATGTTTGTTTCTTATGCTTCTCCTGGACCTAGAGTGAAATTCCCAAGGCAGTCATTTTAAGATTGAAAAGATTAGCTGGACATACTGGTACATGCCTGTAATCCCAGCACTCAGGAGGCTGAGGTAGGAGAATGAGGCCAGCGTAGACTACACAGCAAGACCATCTCAAGACAAGACAAAACAAAACACACATACATACATATATATATATATATATATATATATATATATATATATATTTTTTTTTTTTTTTTTTTTCCCCTCATTTTGTCTGCATCTGAACTGATGGGTAACAAGTTTTCCTTCTCAGGGTCTGTGTTATTCCCTTAATAGACAACATAGTAGTATAGCCTGTGAATTTACTTATCCTGTCAGTTGTATTTCAATTGGAAAAACCTGTTGCAACAGCATATGTGGGAAAAGCTGAGGCTTGGCTCCTTAAGTAGGTTTCAGTACAGTACTGGAAATGTTGAGAACAATGACCCTTCCTGCTCACTTAAGCCTATGCCCAGAATGACATATTTGTCATGCATATTTTTCACTTACCATAAAGAAACAGAATTTTATGTGCCCCTTGATTCTGTCCTATGAATCATCCTGGGGAATGGGGAATGGGGAAACAATGTAATGTTACATAAATACTGGATTTCTTAGTTTTTGCCAAGTCCTACAAAGGTTGGAATAGAATAATACTACATTTATAGTATCTGGTTTGATTTTTGTTTTTGTCCTTAATTTCACCTATCCTTTGTGGTCTAGAAAACCAAACAAGCCAGCTGGATATGATATTAAGGAAAGAAGTTTAAGCTGTCAGCAGGGAATCATTCATTTTCACCATGCCCTAAACTCCAAGTGTTATGCACCCCATGGGTGCTCAGTACAAACATTTAAGGAGTAGAAGACACTGCTATGTTCACAGGTGTGGGAAAAACTGACCACTTTGTGTCAACCCTCTACAAGAATGGCAAGGAAGTGGACAATGGACCTGTCAATCTATACACACTCAGCTATATACAATTAAAAGCAGCCCTTCAAATGTAACTGTGATCACTAATCTTTTTAATACTGAATTAGCGGTTCATAGTAAAATATAAACCCATGTAGCACAAGTTTAACACTGTCCTTACAATCAAAAATAGACGATATATAGAGACATTCAAGTATTAACTGTAACAGCTGTAAGGTATAACACTATGCATAAATATGAAGAGTTTACTGGAAGAAAAATCTGGGAGTTTTCTTCAGGAAGCAAAAAGTATTCAAAGAAGGAAGTGTTACTGAATAAATCTGGGTGGAAGGAACTTCCACCTTGTTGCAAAGTTGAATACTGGGTGAGTGAGAAATGAGGTAGCAAAGGACAAAAAATAGATAGTAAGGAGTCAGAAAAAGCATGGAACAGCAAAAACTTGGCAAACAATGTGATATGTGCTATTACAGAGCTTTTGTTCGGCCATAGAGCAGAATGGTTTGTAGGGTCATTTTTTTTTTAATGTCATTCTATATACTTTAATTCTATAACCTGAACAGCCATTTCGAAGATGACAATTTGTAACTTATCAACTGGCAATTTCTTACCTTTTGTTTGTCTGTAATTTAGAATTATTTCTACCCTTTTTTTTTAAATTTCCATGTATTTTTTTTCGTTTCCTTTTCTTTAAATAAAAAAAAAAAAAAAAAAAAACAAAAAACAATGTGATATGTGCTGTGCAGGCGGCAGAGAATCACCTTTGCAGAAACACGGAGTACTAGATGCAGACCAGAAAATGGTCCACTTACCTACAGTAAGCTAGGTACTTTGTTGTACTATTGATAAGAAAACAGCTGGCTGGCTGTGGGGGAGAATGTTTTTGGGAGAGAAGAGATCAGATACTAGTATCTACTGAAGACACAGTACTTTGGTGGGCAGGTCAAAGGGAAGGTGAATATGCCCAACACTCGGAATAAATAACACCCATACTTAATTAGAACCCTGTGGCTGGAATAAGATCTGGAGGGAGCAGTAAGGAGATAGGAGTTCGATAATTCATAGCTATGTCAGATCAGTGATTATAATTTGAATTCTTGTGAACAGTTCTAGTGGTGTAAGGAACAACTGAATACCTATTAGCAATTAAGGGAGGATCTTAAGGAACACTAGTCTAAAGAAATGCCTGAGGATCTGAGATGGGTTAGGAAGTGTGTTCTAATGTCAAGAAAAATGAAATTATTATCTTTAGTATATCTGTGTATAGTCTTGTGGAAAAAGTATTGATTGGATATTAACAGATACAAATTCAGGTTTCAGATATCTTTATATAAGTCAACCTGCCTATTTGCTGCAAAGCAGACTAATGTTTACACCTTATCTGCCTCTCAGGGATACTATGTTAATAAAAATTTTGTCTGTGAAGTGCTGGGTGTTTCTTTGGGTGTTTTTTTATATACAAAAATCATGATGAAGTTGTTGACAGCAGAAAAACATAAATCTCTGCTTTTTTTTTTTTTTTTTGGCTTCTTGCATTGTGTTACTGGAAATGTCTGCCTGGATCTTTTGTTCTAGGAAGGGGAATAAATTACAGTGTAGTAAAAGAAAAATTAGGATGAAAATCCTTTTTTGTTTTCTGAATCCATAATTACAGTCCATTAGGACCCATAACTGGGCATGGGAAATGAATGTGATCTGAAAATATTCTGGCCCAACCCTTAAATCTCCAGATGAAGAGAATATGCAAAAGGAATAGGACAACAGCAAACCCTTAGAGATGAAGACACAGTTCATCTCAAACAAGCCATTAAATAGCACCCAATCTGCCATTCCTGAGGATAGAAAGCAAGAAATACTGTCTTCAAACATTCTAGGAAAGACAAACCAATTTCACAAAAGACATATGTACTCTTAGTCTTTTAATATCCATAAAACCTTTGTAGGAAGAGGGGGACACATACAGCAAAGGAAGCAAAAATAAAAATCAGTAGGAGCTGGATAGTCGTATTTCTTTTCATGAGATGTTTCCTTGCACTGCTACTTATTTTGTAGTTTTCCCATACTACCCTTTGTTCTTTCACTGCTTGTCCTCTGTAATTAATGCTACAGAATCTAACATTTTTTCCCTGTGCTTTTGCCATTTCTTATAATAACTGAATGAGAGGTTGAGTCTATCAACTTTATAATAAATGTTTTTAGCTATATATATGTATTCCCATGTACGGGAGGGGAGTTAAAGTCAGTGTGAAGATAGATCAATTCTCTATTCACTTAAATCTAAAATGAAAAGGTTACTCCTATATACTCAAATAGCTAACGAACACTTCTCAAAAGTTTTGACATGTTAAAGAGTATTCAGTGAAGCCATGGTGCTTAATGAAGTATTATGTTTTATAATGTATTTATAATACTTTTTTTTTTGGTACTGGGGACTGAACTCTAAATTTTAGAAACTTAAATATTGCCTTTACTATACCTACCATAGTGCTCTTTCAGAACTTTGGAACAGTTGGCAATCAGGTTAAAGGCTTGAAACAGGTCAGAATGTCATAACGTTCAAGAAGGGTCTGGCCAGCATAGCTCCTCTGTGATCAATATAAGATAGGGTAAGGTAGGAACATTGAAATATGTGTGTGCATTTGTTTGTGCTTGCCCTGATTGAGTATGGGTGGGTATTCATTCAGTTCAACCTGTGTAACCCAACAGTTAAGTTAGGAAAGTAAGTTTAGTCTTGCACAAATGGTAAGGTCCTCAAACTACTTAAGTAGCTTTCAGTTTACATATATTTTATTTACATCTTCTCTAAACACACTACAGCTAGACCTTCACCTCATTGTATGATGAAGTCTATATTTTCCCAAGCATTTTGATGTTGCTTAGATCATCAAATCTCTGGTTGCTCGGGGCTGGGGATTTAGTTCAGCGGCATAAGCACCTGCCTTGCAAGCAGGTGGTCGTGAGTTCGACCCCCGGTACCGATAAAAATGAAAAAGACAAAAAAAAAAAAAAAATCTCTGGTTGCTCAAAGTTGACATATGAGGATTTTTAACAGGCAAAGAAGTGACATTTAACAGAATAGGCTCAACTTCCAGTGAACTCCATGGTCTTGATGTAGAACTAGTGTAGGCAGAATTAAGCTGCATTTCTGTCCGCCCCACAACTTTTGACTTCTGGGTTCACTTGTTATATAGATAAGACACAAGTTATAAAAGCTTTTAACAGCAGGGAAAACGAGAAATTAAATTTTTTGGATGCCCCTCCTGGATTCTTATTTGCAATAAAAACTTCAAAAACAAAACAACAGAATGGAAGTAGAAACTACAGAGGGGAGATAGGACTTTGATGATTAAAAGGATATATTCATCTACTAGTATGAATAGAAGGTAGGAGTATTTTTTTTTTTTTTTGTCTTTTTTCTTTTTATCGGTACTGGGGATCGAACTCATGACTGCCTGCTTACAAGGCAGGTGCTTATGCCGCTGAGCTAAATCCCCAGCCCCTAGGAGTAGTTTTCAAAATACGAGATCACTGATAGAATCCAAGGAAGTTTCAATGGGCATATTCTAATCATCAGTATATACAGTTTTTGTTTGTAACTTTTTATCTTCTTGTAAAGAATTTTAAATGTACAGAAAAAGTTCCAAAGGTACAAGGAATTCCTATATGCTTAGATTCACCAGTTATTTTGTTCATTTGATTTTCATTTTATGTATATCTATCTACATATATGCATATATGTATATAGATATATACACACATGCATACCTGTAGGTAGATATATACACATGCATTACCTATATGTGTATACATACATATACCTATATATTTATATACACACATACCTATATACATGTATTTTTTTCCTTTTTGGGGGGCGTTTTTTGAAACAGGGTCTAGTTCAGGCTGGCCTTGAATTTGCAGCAGTCCTCTTAGACACTAGTCCAAATGCTAGGATTAGAAGTGTGCACTGCTGTGCCTGGCAATCTATGCATATATATATATATATTTTTTTTTTAAATCAATTGAGAGCTGGTTAGAAACACAATGCCCTTTTCTCCTAAATATTTTATATTGTGTATTTCTTTTTTTTTCTGTGCCCTACCCCCCATATTGTGTATTTCTTAAGTAACAAGGACATTCAGTAGCCTCAGTAAAGTTATCAAAGTGAAGGAAATTTAAAATGGATACAATACTATGTCTACTCAATTTTACCATTTATTTTTCTTGATCAACACTTTTTGTTATTACTGGTAACAGAGCCCAGGGTCTCATGCATGCACTCTTATAACTGAGGTAATCAGGCTGGTCTCAAACTTGGAATCCTCTTGCCTCAGCCTCTTAAGTAGCTGGGATGACAACTGTGCAACACTGCAACCATTCTTAAAGAGTATTACACTAGTATGTGTGTATATGTATTACATACAAGTGTATGCCACCATGCTCGGCTATGGCTGCGTTTTTGGCATAGATAAAATAAAAGGGATGTGTCTCTCATGCATCACTTCAGAAGGCACATGTTTGTCCCAATATTGATGTTGACTATTTCCTAACTACAATATGCTTACCTGGTTTCTTCATTGTAGTTATAATTCCCCTTTTAAAATTAATAACATATGGGGAGTACTTTTAGTCAATAAAGTACTGTTCTTCATTAAACTTTTATCCACTAGTTTAGCATCCAGGGCCTTTACATTAAGCTATGCCCCCAGCCCTTATTTTATTTTTTAAGATGGGGACTCCCTAAATTGCTAAGTTGTCCAGGCTGGACTTGAGATCCCCTTGCCTCAGTTTCCCAGAGTGACAGGATTAGAGGCACTATGCCTGCCTGTTAGATATTCTAACATATATTTCTTATAATATATGCTAGTCTACTATAAGGAAAAGGACTACCTTCTCTCCCACCTACTCTTATTAGTTTGAATTCATGCATTCTAATTTTAACTTTTTTTTTTTTTTTTTGTCTTTTTCTTTTTATTGGTACCGGGGATCAAACTCACGACTGCCTGCTTGCAAGGCAGGTGCTTATGCCGCTGAGCTAAATCCCCAACCCCTGCATTCTAATTTTAATGAATTAAAAACCTACTGCTTTGACTTACTGTGATGTTTAATTTGTCTGTCAGAGCCTCCTCAAATTAGCTCATGTTCTTTGTGCACTTCTTTATTTTGTGATTCAATAAAAGGTATTGTAGTTTCACCTTGTACTTTTTCTGCTCTAGCCTTTGTAGCAGTCTTTTCAATTGATTTTTGTATACTGATCCCATATTTTGTGATTGTGCTAATTCACTTTTTAGTTCTAATATTTTTGTTGATTCCTTAGACCTTTCTATTTAAATCATCATGTACCTATGAACAAAGACACATTCTCTTTTCTCATCTTTTCCCCTTTTACTCCTTTTCTAGCCTTATTACACTAGCTAGGAGTACGAGTTCAATACTCAAGCAGTGGGTAGAGCAGATACCATTTTTCTTATTATTATAATTTTTGGGGGGAAAACATTTAATACTTCCTCCATTTTTTTTTGTTTGTTTGTTTGAGACTCACTATGTAGGCCCAGGCTGGCCTGAAACTTGAGGTAATCCTCCTGCCTCAACTTCCCAAGACTGGGATTACAGTGTGTAGCACCATGCCTGGCACTTTATCAAATTTTATGTAAGCTGTAATTTGTCATGAATTCTCTTCTTCAATGTAGCCACATATTTTAAATTCTGGAAACTCCCAACAAGAACCTTCCTCACCTTCCCAATCTCCTTAAGGCTAGCATGACTTTCATAATATAAAAATGAAGCTAATAAGGGGCTGGGGATTTAGCTTAGTGGCATAAGCGCCTGCCTTGCAAGCAGGCAGTCCTGAGTTCAATCCCCTGTTCCGATAAAAAGGAAAAAGACTTAAAAAAAAGATAATAAATTAAAATTGCTCATCTTACTAACTTCGGTATATATTAAATGACCATAAATTTCTTTGTAACCACACTTTGTCACTGAGTATATTATCATATATATTTCCATATTATTAAATTTTATTCTACTTTTCTTTTTTTTGTGGTACTAGGATTAAACCCCAGGCCTCACATATTGCAGGGAAGTGCTCTACCACTGAGTTACATTCCCAGCCTTTTAAATTTTTAATTTCAAGACAAGGTCTCACTACATTGCCAGGCTTGCCTTGAACTTGTGATACTCCTGCTTCCGTCTCTTGACTGATTCCAGGTTTGTGCCACTAGCTTCCATTTTTAAATCAGCTTCTAGCACTTTAGCTTCTCCCACAAAGTTGTTGGAATTTCACAGCAGTATTCATTTTTCATCATTCCAAAATATCCTTCTAGTAATGGCAAATTATAGTTATTGGGTTTTTTTGGGTCTCATATAGCCCCATTATACACCACTGGTACAGGCTTACATAAACACAGACACATACTATGGCCACTCTGGCTGAAGGACCAAACTAAGATCACTTCTGAATAGTTAGAATTTATTAGGTTCCAAGATTTGGTATGGCTGTTTTGCTTCTCAGAACATAAAAGTACAGAGCTGTTGTCAAAACCTAGCAGGTTTAAAGGTCTTTGTAGCAATCTGTTTTCCCCTTTCTCTTTACCTTAAACTAGTAATTAGAAAACTTGCCCTGATAAGAAATTGCTGATTTCCCTGATGTTTTATGATCACTAAATGAAGAAATATCATTAAGTTTAAAAAAAAAAAAAAACTTAGTGGAATGAGAAATTCAGTTTTTCCTAGTGAGCAGCAGAGAAGTAAAACCATGTAAGACTCATGGCCTGCTAGTCAGTTTAAGGAGTATTTATGGAGCACCTGCTATGTGTACAGTGTAGTGGTTGGCTGCTGCATTTTAAACGATGTGATGAGTCGTTTACCGAGAAGGATATGGCAAGAAGATCTTACAACATATACCCAATAGTAGTTCATCTTACTACGCTTAAAAGTGTAACACTCTGGGCTTCAGATGATTCCACTTCTTCCTCAGTTTAGATCTGGTGCTGTCAGAAGCAAAGATGTAGTTGATGGATTCATAAGACAGATCCCACACCTGAGACTTGGTCAGTTTAAATGTTTCAGCTGCCAGCTGGTACTCTTGAGAAAGGCATGTTGCAAAAACACCCTTATCATCAGTCTGTGGAAAAAAACAAGAATGTTTAAAAATAAAGGAAACTACTTTTTTAAAAAGTAACTTTTTATTTAGAATATATTTTCTCACTTACTATGCTTCAAGAGTCTGAATTAGGGCTATGAAATATGTATTTATGCCTATTTATAAATAGAGTTTGTTTATACTTAAAAAATACCAGAGCAGTCTTTCAACCTTATTCATATTGAAGTCACCCAGGGAGCTTTTAAAATACATCCACGCCCAGGACTCACCCTAGATCAAATAAAGTAGAATCTCATGAGATGGAAGGTTAGCATTAAGTTCCTTAGAGAATGTTCAGAACCCCTTCCAACAGAGCCAGGCCAGACCTGCTTGATCCTCTGAAGCCTTCAATGGCCCCATATCCTCTAATTCCTCTTCCTGGGCATTACCCTCCTGTACGCAAGGCAGCTAGGTAGTGAATATGTAACCTAATTAAATGCAACAAATAAAAAGGAGCAAAATAGATAACATAAAACACCTTACACAGATCACAGATGGATGAGAAATGCTGTACCAGAATCCGAAGTGATGCTGGTCATAAGATGAAACTGTCTGACTTTTGATGTTTGAAGTCAAACAGAGTTCTAAATGAAAGTGGAAAAAAAAAATCTCTTAGTAAACTCAGATAAGTGAACTCATTCAATGTTCATCAAGGAGACTCATGAGAAATCTTTCCAAAGCAAGCTGACTTGCATCACTTTTATTACTTTTTTTGTCTTCTTGAGACAGGGTCTCTTCTATGCAGTTCAGGCTGCCCTTGAGCTCACTTTGTAGCCTAGGCTGGTCTCGAAATTGCAATGATCCTCCTGCCTCAGCCTCCCAAGTGCTGGGATTATAGGCATGAGCCACCATGCCCGGCTACTTTTATTACTTTTAAAAACCTGTTCATTCCTTATATGTGATGTGAAAAGCTGTGGTTCAATTAATTTAGTTGCCCAGGAAGAATGTGCTACAACTATGGCAGCAACTGTACCAGCAGGGAATTAATATGATCTTCCCAGCCAGGTGCTTCCCTGTCTTTTACCACAGTGCAGAGGAATGTTATAAGCCAGTCATGATGAACAAGACAGGGAATTATCATGAAAGGAAAGCAGGGGGAGTTTTTGTGTATGTGTTTTTCTTTTCTTTTTTTTTTTTTTTTTTGGTCTTTTTCATTTTTATCAGTACCAGGGATCGAACTTACAACTGCCTGCTTTCAAGGCAGGTGCTTATGCTGCTGAGCTAAACCTCCAGCCACCACCACCCCTTTTTTTTCTTTTGTCATACTGGACACTGAAACCAGGATCTTCACATTGAGCTTCAGCCCTAGCCCTTATTTATTTATTTTGATTTTTTTTTTTATTTTCACACTGAGCTTTGTCCCTAATCCTATTTATTTTGTATTTCTGAGACAAAGTCTCACTTTTTAGTGCAGGTTGGCCTTAAACTCACAGCGATCCTCCTATCCCAGCCTCCAGAGTTCTGGAATTACAGGCATGCACCACCAAGCCCAGCTTTTTTTTTTTTTTTTTTTTTTTTTTTGCTCAGACAAGATAGCCAACTCCTTAGCTCACAGTTTGAAGAGGTTTCAGTTCATAGTAGGCTGGTTCTATGGCAGGGTGGCACATAACAGAGGGGCAACAGTTCTTGGCAGAATATGGCAATGGTGGTGGACTTGAAACAAGCCTCTTTCTGTCCCTTATAATGTATCCAGTCTGCTAGGATTAGGACAGTGTCAATCTAATCAGTGGACTGATCCAGCAATCACCCACTCTTAATCCCAGCATTCCACTATGAATCAATCATGCAGTCTAGATTCAGCCACCTCTGAAAAAACTCTTATGACTGCATGAGGCTTTGGGGGAGTATCTAGACACAAACCATAACAGTTACTAAGTTGCCTAGGTTGGGTTTGAACTTGTGATGCTGCCTTAGCCTCCCAGAGTGCTAGGATTACCAGTGTGTACCACCATGCCCAGCAGCAAAGGGTTTTTGTTTTTGTTTTTTAATTTTTTTTATTTTAAAGAGATTAAGACAAAGGAGGACATAACAAAGCAGATCATATCAGAACAATGCAAGCAACATAGCATTTTGCCACAAGACAACCCAAAGTTAACAGTAACTACCATAATGTCTCTTTTTTTGAAATATTGAGCATAACTTCATATACGATAGTATCAAATATAACAAAACAGTATAAAACCATTCAAAAGAATAACAGCATTACAGGGCTTTCAGAACCAAGTAACAGAGAACGAACAATGGCTACTGTCTCATTTTCCATAGAAAATTTGTTTATACTATCACACAATAATATCCAATAAGATATAATATGATAGAACTAAAGGAAACAGAAGAGCAAAAGTATAGTAGGACTTCACAGTAAGATGATATTAAATCAGCACTGGCTATTCTAATGTCTTGTTTTCTTCAAAATAACTGTTCATACTATCACAGATAATAAAATCAAACAAGCCAGGATAAAATCATTCCAACTAATGAATGCAAACATTATAAGGCTTTAAAGCAATGTAATGGGGAATCATGATTACCATAAACTCTTATGTACTCTTACCATTTCTTACACTAGGGAGACTATATGATATTTATACATGTGAGTATGATTCATTTCACTTATTAGTATGGTCTCAAGTTGCGTCCATTTATTTATAAATATATCAATATGATCATTCTTTATAACTGAGTAGTACTCCACTGTATAAAAATACAACTTTTTTATCCATTCCTCAGTTGATGGACACTTACGTTGTTTTCAAGATCTGGTTATTACAAATTGTGCTGCTAGGGTTTTTGAAGACCTACTACAATTCCTCCTACTTTTACACTAGAGACCGAAACAAAAGTAAGAAAATGGTAGTAATGCCTGAGAGTCACAACTGGAAAGAGCAAAGAATGGACATGAACTTTCCTATGGCTTCTAAGAAAACCCAAAACATCTCTGCCTGGCCCACTCTCAATTTACTGCCAGTTGCTTCTAGGTAAGTCTATTTTAAGAATGACTTTTACTACTAACAAATTCCTATCTGAAACAGTGTGCATAGCTCACAGTAAAATGCTTCAGTAATTTAACCAATACTCTGCTCACTTAGGCAAGGCAGCCTCACAGGCCACTCAGTCCAAATGATGCCCCTCACTCTGCTGGGAGCACCAGCATACCATACCATACAAGATCACTAGGAAAGAGCTCTGTATTCTCTCTACTTTTGTGAATGTTAAAAAAAACTTAGTAAAAAATTTGGCACTTATTATGAATTGCTAAAAGCTTCTCAAGTAGTTAAAAAAATATACACACAAATATCTTGGTAAATTAAAGTTTAAAAATTTAGCAAACTGACCATTCAGTAAAATGGTTTACAGCCAATCACTTCTCTCTATGGAAAGACTTTCCTTTTCATTCTTCAGAAAGGAAGTGGTTACCTGATCACTCCTATAGTAGCCTGTTTAATTTACTTCACAAAACTTAATAGTGATATTTTCTTGTGTAATTGTTTATTGTCTTCCCTCAACTAGACTATGAGTTCCTGAGAAAGAAACCCTATCTGTTTTATTTACTCCTTATTCCTATCAATTAGAGCAGTGATTTTAACAATAGGCACTTCATAAACACACTGATAAGCATGTAAAAGTCAATGGACATGTAAAAATATATTTGGAATTTTCTATAATTTACAATTTTAAAATAAATATTACATATTTTCACAACACATGTCAATTTCATTAAAGTCAATTTCAAAACTTTTGGTGACCCTTATTCCTTCAGAAAAGCACAACTGAGTCCTAAGCATTGGGGGTTTTAGCAATAAAAAGGCAGACAGCCTATTCTCAGGGAGCTCACATTCTAATGGGAGCTGAAACTTTATTTAAACGAGGCTCAAAAAGCACACACACTATGACCTTGACTTTCTGAATGATACTTATAATTTTAGAACAGCACTTCCTCACTTCCAGCTTCCCACCTGGGGCTGGGGAGGAAGGCTCAGGCTGCTGTCCAGAAGACTGAAAGCCTTACCCAGTGGTATCCGATGCTGCCTCACAAAGTTTACCAGATCCAGGGATCCTCTCTCAGGGGAGTTGAGAAATGTTCCATGCCCAATTCTGTCAGGAAGGAGATCCAGGAGCACCTGGGTTTCTTTTTTTTGACTTGGAATCTTCAGAAAAGTGAGAAGAGGGCATCATGAACTCTTAGGGGTTCTTAAAAGTAGTTTTCTACAGTGGGTTCCCTGTCCTGCTAAGTAGTTAATGCAGACATTTTTGTGTACATATTTTTTTTTTTTATTTAAAGAAAAGGAAACGAAAAAAAAATACATGGAGATTAAAGAAAAAAAGGGTAGAAAAATAATACTAAATTACAGACAAACAAAAGGTAAGAAATTGCCAGTTGATAAGTTACAAATTGTCTTCTTCGAAATGGCTGTTTAGGTTATAGAATTAAAGTATTTAGAATGACATTCAAAAAAGTGACCCTACAAACCATTCTGCTCTATGGCCGAACAAAAGCTCCGTAATATGATTATCAGTCCCACCTATTTGTTTTACATCTCTAAGAGGATAAGGTTAACCATATCAAAACAGAACAGAACATTTAAAAAAAAATAAAAAACAATTTAAAGAAATACAGATTTCAAAGCAAGTCCACTGGAGATCTACCTTATCTAACTGTCTCTAGCTTCTTACAGATAGTTGTCCCTAACTTCACCCACTTTCTATACTTATTACATATTATAGAACTAATCAAATCATTACAGGATGATGGAGTCTTTTTAGGTCCTCAAGTTCCAAATTAGGGAAGACATTTCCAACTACCATCGCATCTCTCATTCTCTTTGTGATAGCCGTCCCCATCTCTGCATATGCTGAAGTTGAGCTGAAGAAACCAGTCCAGAGTCATTTTAATCAGCAAGCAATAGATTGCTAGAATTTATATTATAATGCTACAAAATAAGCCTCGGGTTTTTCAGGTCTCTTCCTCAGAGTATTTGTTCCTATCCTCTCTGTATTATAGGGAAAACCAAGTCATAACAAGATAGCGAAACAATTTCCTAGATAAACATGCAATGGATAAGACTTACAAAACTATAATATAAATGATCTTCCGTAGCTACTATGTTTTCTCTTGTTATTTTCAATAGATTTGTCGACAACACTGGCTTATTATAGTTAAATATACTATCACCTATTTTTATAAAAACTTATCTTTGACTGCATTGTAGTATTTGAGAGCTGTTACTGATTCATACCAGTATGGATATCCTTTACATCCTGTCATGCTCAGAGTAGTTTCCTCTACTTTTAGGGTTGATTCTAACAGGCATACGGATTTCAAATAGGATCAGTCAAGGCCAACCAATAGTCTTATGATTCAGATACAATTAAGATCAGTCATAGTAAGACAATGTAAGTAATACAGGATTTCAGCTTAAGTCCATAGGAAAGTAAGGATGGTTACCATGGTATAACCTGCTATTTTTGGTTCTAGAGGTCTGTGTCCTCAAATCTGATATGAGTGGACAGACCAGAACAAATTTAATTCAATCTAAATATGGCACTAGGACTACTGTGTCTTTTAAATCGTTATACACCATTAGCAATGACCTCTGCTTTTTTTTTTTTTTTTTAAATATAGTTTCAGAGCTGTCTCTACCAAAGACTAGCTTACCGTCTCTGCCTCCTGTCTGCTACTCCACTTTTCTGCTATAATTTGTCCACCTTATTCCCTCATTCCATGGTCTGCCCCGTACACTGAGGCCTCTCTGCCACTGTAGCTGTAATCCTGATATTTCTTCCTCTCTTTCTCTGTAATGTCCTTCAGCGCTCTCTGTAGGGTTGGATTGGTGGCCACGAACTCCCACAGTTCCTCCTTGTCTTGAAAGTATCTTATTTCTTCATGAATTTTTAGAGAGAGTTTTGATGGATATATGAACTTAGGTTGCATATTTTTTTCCTTCAGGACTTGGAATATTTCTCCCCACTCCCTTCTTGACTTAAGAGTTTGTGTTGGTAAGTCTGCCGTTATTTTGATAGATTTCCCGTTATAGGTAACCTGCATCTTTTCTCTGGCTGCTTTTAATATTCTGTTTTTTTGGTGGATTTCTGGGATCTCGATTATTATATGCCTAGGCGTAGATCTGTTTTGGTTGTAGGTAGCTGGTGTTCTGTATGCTTCTTTTATCTGGATATCATTTCTTTTTGCTATACATGGGAAATTTTGCTTTAATATCTCTGTGAATATTTTTTGTATTTCATTTTTGGATGTTCCTGCTTCCTCACTCACATTCTTTATTCTTAGGTTATGCATCTTTTTATCATCTTCCAGTTTTAGAATTGCTTCTTTCTGGTTCCTTGTTATTTTTAAGAGGCTTTTTCTTTCACGTTCATAAGCCCTAAATCTCTCTTCAAGTTTCAGAAGGTTGTCTTTAGTTTCTGTCAAGGCATTTTGCCAATATTCAATGGAGTTTTTAGTTTCCTGATTTTCTCTTTGGATCTGTTTCATGTATTCTAAGTTATGCTTAAATTCTTCAGATGCTTCTCTTTCTTTTCTGATTTCCTCAGTTCTTCCATCTGTGTTCTCTTGGGCAGGGCTTGTCATTTCTTTAATTAATCTCTTTATATCTTGCCTCACTTGGATCAGGAGTACATCTTTAAATTCCTCTATGAGATCATGTAAATATTTTTTAATTTCGGCTGATGCTGAGTCGAGCAATGGATGGTTACTGTGCTTGTTCTCTTCAGTGTTTAGTTCTCTTGGGTTTAATTTCTCCTGTTGAACAGCTGGAGATTTTTTTTTATTTTTATCTCTTGTCATGTTTCTGGTTTCTTTCAGACTGTCCTGGAGTTCTCTGGCCCTCTCCAAATTGCTTAGGGCCTTTCAGAAGCGTGCCGGCTTGAGTTTTTGCTGTCCTCCCCAATTTGCTGTTATCTGGGGTAGGCTGGGATGCAGGGGCGGTACAGTCTAGTCTCTAGCCTCTGTGTCAGTTAGTTCATAAATTAGGCTGTACTTTCTAGTTGTCACTGAGTTGTGACCATTCTGCATCCACCCATTGGGCCCCAAGCAGAGGCCTGATCTAGCCCCAACAGCTCCTGCCAGTTCTCCCTGAATCAGAAGCAGCTGGGTAATGGCACAGGATTCTGCCCAGGTCCCAGCCGTTCTCTTCCAAACCTCTCTGTGATAGGAGCTCTAGAAAAGCAGATCTGCCCAAAACCAAGATGGCTCCCACTAAGTTCTACGTGCGGAGCTGAAGCCAGCAAGCAATCAGACTCTGCCAGGACTCAAGATGTCTTCCACCAGCCCTCCCTACAGGGGGTCCTGGTGATGTCACCAAGCTGCGATTTCTGCCGCCAGGCTAATATGTCTGCACCAGATTCTGTGTTATTGATTTCCCCGTGGTGGCGGGCCAGCTGTTCTCTGGCCAAACCCAGCCGCCGCGGGGTTTTCTATACTCACCAGAGTCCGGTGCAAGTCCCCGCTCCGGGACCGCCACACACCAAGCCGTCCACTTTTCCCCACCTCGCGGCTCAGCGCTGACTGGTCAGATTTCTGTGCACCGTTTAGATTCGAAACGCCAGAGCTCTGTACATCTGCGCTGGTGCAGCGGTGCAGAACTGGCTGCCGCCTGGAGTCTCGATCTGGGTCTCAGTTTCCGCAGTCCCCAAAAGCAACTCAGCTTTTCGTGTTGGGTCCACGAGTCTGTTCGTTGATTTAAGGGCGCGGGATTTGCAGCCTCCGGTCTCAGCACGACTTTAAATCCTCCAGCTGTACTGTCTTGGTTGATAAGGATCGCTATGGATTTGTCTGGTCCTCTCCATGCTGTCTTTTTTTTTTTTTTTTTTTTTAGCTTTGAGTTTGAATTCTCTGGAGAGATTCTTCGCTCGATCCCCTAGCACGCCGCCATTTTCTCTCCTCTTGTGTACATAATTTGTCCTGAGATAAGATCTTACTGTGTAGCTCACACTAGCCTCAAACTGATGGCCTTCCTCCTGCCTCAGCCTCCTGGGTACTGAGATTACAAGGGTAAGCCACCATGCTATGACATTTTTAAGCTAAAATACTCGTGTTATTTTCCTAGCTTTTGTTTTTGCTATTTTTTTATTTTGCTTTTGTTTTTGTTTTTTTATGCTTTATTTGTTGGTGCTGGAATTGAACCCAGGACCTCCCACATGCTAAGCCTAAACTCTTACCGCTAAGCTGTACCTTCAGCCCCTTCTGCCTTTTATCTTCTCATTCATTCTACAACATTCTTCTAAATTCATTTTAGTAACAATAAAAATTATGAAGATCCTGTTTTATTCCTTTTTTCATATCAGTTTTTTAAGGCCTCAAGAATCTTAAGGCCTCTCAAGAGTTAAGATGAAAAATTAATTTTCAGGAAAAGTAATTTTCAAAAATCAAAACAAAATCCCATAACTCTGTTTTGCACTGTATATATGTGTTCATATATATTTGAAAAAGGTCTAGAAAAACAGAAAACTGTCAACATTATTAACTCTGGGGAGTTAACAGGGACTTTCACATTTAAAAATTTTTTTTCTGCATTATACTTCCTTACAGTTAGGGTTTAGATCAAGATCCTTTAAAGGTCTCACAGACTCATAGATGGGGCGTTTGGAAGGTGCCTGGATTGTGGGGACACTACACCAACATGCTGCTGCGAGGTGAGTCCTAATTAGAGGCAGGTCACTGGGGACATTACCTAGAAGGGTATATCTGCCTCTCTAGACGTCCCTTCTCTCTCTGCTTCCTGGCCCCTATGACATGAGCAGCTTTTCCTCTGTTAGGCCCTTGTGCCAGGCTGTCTTCTGCCTTGGAGCCAGCCAGTCATGGGCCATAACTGAGCCAAAACAAACCTCTTCTCCTTTAAGTTGTATATGTCAGGTATTATATATCTCAGGCACAAGAAAGTGACCAACACACCTATGCTTGAAATTTCTTAAGGTACATACAACTTTTTTAAAAATTAGTTTTATGTAAACTATTTTTTTTTGTACAAGGAATCAAACTCAGAACCTTGCACTTACCAGGCAGGTGTTTGTGCCAATGAGCTATATCCCCGGCCTAAGGTACATACAACTCTGAAAAATAAAGTATTTTTAAAAAATTGTCCAAGGGGCATGGGGTTTTAGTTCAGCAGCAGAAATGCCTGCCTGGCAAGTGTGAGGTCATGAGTTCAATCCCTAGAACAAAAAAAAAAAAAAAAAAAAAAAAAAAAAAAAATTGTCTAAGGACATAAAGCTAGTTAATGGTAGAGAGGGATAAGATATACTCCATCTGACTCCAGAGCCCAGAAACTTCCTACACTGTGCTTATCCTTTATTTTGACAAGGTTAGCTACAGAAATACCCCAGTTTCCATGAAAATGGCTAGCTGTGCTCTTTTTTTTTTGGTAGCTGTGTTCTTTTTCTCCTACATAGCTTCAAAACAAATGCTCAGAATATCTTGAAATGTGATTATTTTATATCTAATGGATCAAACAAAGCAACAGAAACTAAGGTAAATGCGTTCCAATGCTGTGCATAGGCCAGAGATAACTTGTCACAGTATCAAATGCTGTTCCACTATCCTGACCAGTGGCTTCGACAGGGCACCACCTAGGTCAGCTAGAGGGTGTCCTATGAGTCAAAGATCTGTGTTATTAGACTTTGAAAACATGGACTGTAGATTTTAAGTTCTGCCACTATGATTAATGATTACTGACCTTCTGCTTGCAGGCACAAATGATATAAGTACTGGCAGGAGGTTCTAATTTCTTTCCTTAATCTTTATGCCATGATGGTACGCAGCCTTTTTACATTACCCCATTTAATGCACACAATAATTTTAAGAAAGAAGTATATTAAGTCTTATTTTCTGCATATAAGACATAGCTAAAAATACTGAGGTAGAAAAAATTAGTAAAATAAGGAAGAGAGCAACAGAATCCTTGTTTGCCTCACAAAAATGTGCTTAAGAAAATGTGTGTTTCTAGCTGTAATCTGCATGGTGTTACTGTCCTCATGGTGCCATGAAGCTGGGGACCAATGAAGAACACTAGATTTCCTTTGTGAACTCCCCACCTGCAACGCTGGGCCATTTGAAGCTTTATTTTATAATGATTAGCTACTTTAGTGCCAGTATGTGATACATGTAGGTCTGCTCCACTACGCCCCACTGTGAAGACAGGAAAGGTGAACTGGTGCTTTTCTTAGAGTTGGCTCATGAATGACACGGCTGGTGGTGAAAATTCATGCAGTTTCTATAGCAAGATTTCACGAAGCTGTAATGACACAGCTGGAGTTCAACTCCCAGGAACCACAAAATGTTAAAAACAGTAACATAAGACACTAAAGTAACTCATGTATTACCATTTTAAACTACATTTAAAAATAATTCTGTCTCCCCATTCAAAAATGTTTTCCCAAACCAGGTTTATTTCTAGTTACTTCAAGACACCCCTACTGTTTTCTGTCATAGACTGCCCTTCCAGCCTAAGACAGCATTACTTACCTCTGAAAGATGCAATGCCAACTTCAGGCCTGTTTTTTTAGCTTCTAAAAGTGGTTCCAAGAAGTCTTTTGCTTGACCTATCTTGAAAAGTTAAAATGAAAATGCATGAGAATTCCAGGCAAACTGAGGAACTAGGTATTCTGATCCAATAAACAAAAGAATAAAATAACAGCAGAAAAAAATAAAGAGACTGATTTATTTGCACATTTTGTTTATGGAGCACCTGCCAGGTACTAGCTATTTTGAAGACTAAAATGCTGATAAAGGCAGAGTCCCTGCCCTTAAGAATCTTTAAGTCTGTTATTAGTGGCCCTAAGATCAATTTCCTAAGCTGGACATGGCAGTCACCAAATTTTATTTCTGAAAAGACAGCTAGATATTTAGTAGTAAAGACATCTCACTTGATTCAAAAACCTTAACAAGTACTAAGAATTATTAAATGGGTAGGGAAAACAGGAGCAGAACAGTTCAGGTTTAGATAAAGTCATGGGCACCAGCTTCATAGGCTTCTCTCATCCAGTGGTTTTCAACCAGAAACAATTCTGTGATCCAGGGAACATGTGTCAAGGTCTGAAGAAATTTTTAGTTGTCTTACTGGGAGGATGCTACTGGTACCTAATGGGCAGAGACTATAGATGCTGCTCAGTATCCTATAAGGCATAGGGCTGCCCCCAAAGAAAAAACTGGCCAGGAATATCAAGACTTCCTGTTGGAACTTTGCTTAAGAAGCTTCAGCCAACTTTTCTGAACTGGAGCTTCTATGAAATAATTACGAACTTAATGCCCTAAAATATTCCTCCATTGTATGTAATGAATTAACTTCTCTCTATACATACACACTAGAACTACTTGTGTACCATCTTTAATAGAACGGAGGAAATGGTCATATTCACTCAGGAAAGTATTTTTTTTTAGGGTGCTTTATTCCTTCATAGAACCTTGGTTAAGAACAGCTGCTCTAGACATTCAGTTTAACCAAGGCAGAATAGCATCTGCTGGACCTTATAGAGAATATGATGCTCCAACTTAATCCTTAACTCATTAAATCACCCTTTAAGAAATAAAATATATTAGGAAAAACAACTTACAGTTGGGTCTCCACTGAGGTCAAGGCCAAGAACTGTATCATTAGCAGAAAGGAAGAATTCTTCAGCGAGTTTAACAGTCTCCTTGGCTACCAAAGAGCCACCTCTTCTGTCAATTGCTATCAAATACCTTTAATATAAGAAATAATAGTTGAAACTACTATGTAGATGAAAAAGACAATTCCAAGTATGACTAGAGAGGCATGAGAGGCTGCAAGTAATATAGGTTACTAGGTGAATACAGCCTGAGTCTAGATAGCACATTTTATTTGCCAGACAGAATAAGACATGAAATGCTAAACACTAATGTCAAATATTTAGCCATTGTTCAAAACAGTTGTCTCACATTTGTTTAAGCATTTGTAATCTTTTGACTCAAGAGCCTAATAAGGCCCCATCTTGTATGAGTCTGCATACCTCTTAGGTCTTTTTTATAAATCTATAGTCACTCATTCTTTTTTGCCCTCTACTCTTTTTTTTCTATAGTCTTTTCTTAGAATTTATTGTAACAACAAAAAAGAATTTATCTGTAGCAAAAAAAAAATTTGTTTGTCCTATAAATTTCCCACAGTTTGGATTTTGTTGATTGTTTCCCTGTATTAACATATTCTCCTGCCCCTTACTATTCCTATAAATTGATCCTTAGATCTAGTCTTGAGGCTTAATCAGATCAGATTTAATTTTTTACAAGAATAAAAGGTAGTGGTATATTCTCAGATAGCTCAGATGATTTCATTAAGGGTTACAAAATTGGTAATATTCTAATTTTAAACTAAACACCTGATTCAAATTCATTCTTATACATTAACTAGAATTTTATAGAACTCAAATATATACTCCCACCCCCGCAAAAAAACCTGTTACTTTTGTGTGATTGTTCTGAGGCATGTATTAGTTTGGTTATTCACAAAATAAATTCCTCCAGCATTTATTTATTTATTTAGAAAATCTGGATCAACCACCTAAAAAAATCCTTTTCATTCAGTCTCCTATGCATTAAGTAGTGTTACAAAATGGTATAAATCATATGAACATACCATAATGTAATTGTCCTCTGACTGACAGACTTTTTAGGATTTTTTTAACTTGTTATAAATAATACTACAATAAAGAATCTTATGTATAAATCAACTATTTTCTTAGGTACATTTGTATGTCTTCTTTTCTGTATTCTATTCTTGTTTCTGGCTTGGTTTTTATTGGGGTATTAATCTAGTTAGGCTTAATTTTTAGATATTCTTACAGCATAAAACTGTACAGCTAACTTGCTTTACTCAAGGTCTTACTGAGCCCAACTATGAACACACTAAGTTCTGTGCATCAGAGACAAGGTGGTCTGTCAATTGCTATCAAATACCTTTAATATAAGAAAGACACTAGTTGTCTTTCTTATATTAATGAAAGATAAGATCTCCAGTCTAGTGAGTGAGCATGTGTTTAAAAAAACACCACAAGACAATTCTTTCCTTTCTTTTTTCTTGGTACTGAGAATTGAATTCATGACCTTGCACTTGCCAGGCAGGCACTATGCTGCTGAGCCATAACCCCGGCAATAAAACTATTCTTTATCCTGTTCTAAATGAACATTGTAAAAGAAAAAACATAGGTGGCCAAACACAATGTTCCAGCTACTCAGGAGGTGAAGGCAGGAGGATTACCAAGTGTGATGCCAGTCTGGGAAACTTAGCAAGACCCTGTCTCAAAACAAAAGATGAAAAGAAATAGAAATGCAGCTCAGTAGCAGAGAACTTGCATAGCACATGTGAGGCACAGATACAGATACACAGACACAAACACAAAAAGCAAGCAATGAGAAGCTATACTCTACTCAAAAAAGCTCGAAAACCTCAGGACTTTACTGCCACAGGAATAAATCAACACTTCTCATCTTTAAACAACAAAATTCTTTACTTTTTTCTATTTTAAATAGATATCAGTTACTGGTTGATTTTTTAAAACCTATTACATAACCTATCATCAACACAATAAAACTTCATGTTCTAGTTTTGTTTTTTTTTTTTTTTTTTTTACCGGTACCAGGGATTGAACTCACAACCATGTGCTTGCAAGGCAGGTGCTTACACCACTGAGCTAAATATCCAGCCCCCATGTTCTAGTTTTTAAAATGGCAACTATTAAGGTACAATCTTCTTACCGAACATCGATGTCTAAATTTTCTTGTTTGGACTGTTTTATACCCTCAAGTATGGATTCCACATAAGTCTTTTTAGTCATTCCTGGACAAAAATGTAAGAAACATGTCATGAGACCATCAACTATTTTATCCTGCAATTTCAGTACTTATGAAGCCCTATATGAACATTTACTTTTTTACTGTATGTTACAAGGCATGATTCAAGATGAGTGAAAACATAACCCTGATGGGTACATTTTAATAAATGAAATTTCATACAATAGGAAAAAGGAAAACAGAAATTAAGAAAAAAACCCACAGAATACAAACCCATTTTAAACATTTTTAATATAACAGATATAAAACTATTTTCACAAACTGCCGTAAAATTTTATATGCTAATTCTAACAATGTAAGACGCATAAGTCATTTGCTAATTCTTGTCCTTTAAAAGAAAAAGCTATTTTCTCTATTACCAGGATGTTTGTTTGTTTACTGGTCCAGGAAAAAAAACAATCTTAACTGTGGGCTCCTTCCCCCTCAACCCTGAGTAGGCTGCTTCTCATCCAGGAGATCAGAGCTACCCTTCCAAATTTGAGAGTGCAAGTCCTCTTCTGGAAGGCTCTGTGACAGTGCTCTCCGGAACAGCCTCTCCTAGAATATCATCTTACACTGACTGTAATATGCTGATTTGGAATGGAAACTCTCTAGTGAAACACAGAAAACTATAAGGAAAAACAAAAATAACCTGTAATCCCTCACTTGCGGCTAACCATAACATTTTCTGTAAGTGTACACATATGCATTTTTAGTGGATGAGACGGCTACTAGATACATATGGAACCTGTAATTTAACACTGGTGCAGTATTTCTACATGCCATGAAAGTGTCTGCTATGGATTAAAAAACTGGTGAGCAATTTAACACTAGGTGAATTCAATCAACATGCTGCTGAGCGTAGGTAGCCCACCTGAGGAAAGTTGCTAGCATAAAAGGAGATGTGGAAAGGAGGAATGTTGCATTAGCATTATGGGTTCTCTAAGTGTTGCTGTTGTTTGGAGCTGTTAGTTCTCCTGGAGGAGCTTGTCCTGGCTAGCTTCCCTGATATGAATTCAGCTATTATCATCAGAGGAACTCGGAACCTTGTCACTGAGAGTGACTGTAGATCACTTTGGGAGAGGCTGATCCTTACATTGGGCATTGTTTCCTGGTACCAGAGCATAAGATGTGTGCCGTTTAATCTCCAGGAGAAGCTTGCATGCTGGCTTTCTGATATGAACTTGGCTGTTGTCAGAGTAGCTTGGGACCTCATTGTCGTAGAGGATAGCTATGGAACTTTTCAGGGGAGCCCTGGTCCTTAATTTGAGTGTTACTTCTTGGCTCCAGTGTAGAACCCTCAATCTACTGATATAGTCTATCTCCAACCCCAAACTTTCTAGCTTTTACTGCTGACCTCTGGGCCTTCCTAGCGCAGATCCTAAAACAGACTTGCATGAGTCATTGTCATGGGCTCTAGGCCTTCAGCTGGACTTGAAGGAGACACTGTCATGGGCTCCAGGTTTTCAGCTGGAATCACGCAGGACGCTTATTGTGGGATCCAGGGTCTTGGCTAGATTTTCTAGGCCTTTAGTGTTGTGGACAGATTTCCTGTACCTTCTTTGTATTTAACTCTTGGGTGATCACTATAAATAATACTATATATTTTGTGTTCTGTATGCAACTCCTGCTACAATAGTGTCTTTGAAAGTATTTTTAATAGTTGTAGAATATCCCATTAGTCTTTACTAAACTGTTCCCCTACTGCTGTATTCCACTGTGACTCGCTATTTGAAAAGAAATGTAGCTTTACTAATTGGCAGGTATTTGTCTTTTTCTATCCTCACTAGCATAACTTGGAACTGGTTTTGTAGTTCAAAAATACAAGGTAGGGGCCAGGGATTTAACTCAGTGGTGTTAAGTGCCTGCCAGGCAAGCACAAGGTGGTGAGTTGATTCCCAGTACCAAACAAACAAACAAACAAACAAAAATATAAATTAAGAATCTTCTCATTGTCTCATTTCAACAGTTACTATAATAGTTTCAAAACATTAGCTTCCCCGTCAGTGATTACTAGGTTATACGTGGTAGGGTTCAAGATGACCAAAGTCTCTTCAGGTTAACAGGGACTTTGTGATCATATTACTTTCTTATGCTGCTCTTATGGAAGGATAAGCCTATGAAGTCCTTCCAGATAATATGCAGATCAGCTCATGTCCATCCAGATGGTGTGCAGCTTGTTCCTGTCCTAATAAACCATCAGTCCCCAAGAACTGAGTGGCTGAATAACCTACACTTCAGTTGCCATAAAATATGATTCTGCACCCGTCAGTGGCAGTGTCACATATGTGCCCTTGATGTAGGAAGCAAGGGTCAGCCTCTGCTTGAGACATAACAACCACACAGAGCAAGTATCCTTTTCTCAAAACGACAAAAACTAAACAAAGAAGAACAAAACAAAGATTTGCAGAGCCTTATGCCCCCTTAAATAGATAATGTCTGATTAGACTTTCTGCATTTTACTTAAGAACTCACTTGTTAATAATGCACATCATTAATACATAAGATTTTTCTGTTGACTAGAAGTCTCGATGAAAATGGAGAACCACACAACTGTGTAAAGTAAGTGCTTCATAATGGCAACTGACAAACATATAAAAGATCCAAGCACACAGAAAAGAACCGCAATTCACTGAGAAGTAATTAGATTCTACCAGTAGCGTTTTCTCTCCTGGGTGTGCTCCTCAGTTCCAGGTACTTGACACCATCATCAGCAAATTCTTTAATGACATCTTTTGTGACCTGAAAATAGAGGTAATGTACATAACACTGATAATATCTGGGTAAGGGTCCCAGTGAAAATGGCAGGTGTTACAGCTGCATTAAATTTGATTTTCAAGGAATGTTACATGGTAGAGTGCCCACTTTGTCACACCCTTGATGGAGCCTATGACAGAGCTGCACCATTTCCACACAATTCTCATCACCTGCCTCATTTCCATATTTAATTTATATCTGCATATCAACTTCACCTCCCTGCCCTCCACCCTTTTATTTTTTAAGGCTGACTTTATTACTATTTAAAATATTAAAAATTTGGGGTTGGGGATTTAGCTCAGCGGCATAAGCACCTGCCTTGCAAGCAGGCAGTCGTGAGTTCGATCCCTGGTACCGATAAAAAGGAATAAGACAAAAAAAAATTAAAAATCTTAAATTTAGTACCTCTACCCTTTATTCTTTTCTCTATCTCCTAGTGTTCCTAAAGCAGACCAATTAAACAGAGATATGAGGCTAAGCTCATTCACATTGAGCTACATCCCCAGCTCCTTCTTATTTTTGAGAAAGGCTTCTCGCTAACTCATTAAGTTGCCTAAGCTAGCTTGAATTTGCAATCCTTCTGCCTTAGTCTCAAGTGCTTGGATTACAGGTGCGCTCTATGATACTCAGCTTAGTTGGAGCCAGTTATGTACATGATGCTAGGAGATGTACAAGCAAAACTAAATAGCTAAAATGATCTCGTATTGCTGATGCAATGATAATGTATTACTGATACGCTATGCAAAGTCATGGCTTAAGATTTTTATTTAAGCTCCTTAGGAAGAGTTGTATTTTTCAATAAATCACGGCAGGGTTAAATTTTCCCCTAAAGAATTCAGGAACAATACTCTTAGGCAAAGAAAATGAATAATATATAAGAGTAAAACTTATATTTAATATAGTATAAACTTCAACAATCTAAAACCTTTCTGATGTTTTTCCTTTTCCATCAGCAATCACCAAGAAATAGCAAATTCAGATGAAAGAAAAGGCAAGGTTGAGGATGCCATGATACCTGCCCTCGTTAGCCCTTTAACTGGTACTCTAATCTTAATCTGCTTTGCCTACATGCACACAATTATGAATGTGCAGGGTCCTAGCACAGGAACAAAGGCTGTTTGTGCAGAATGCCTAACAGAGTGGCACTCGCATGGTGAACTCTTAGCAATCTGGAGAAACTCCATCTTGTTGCCACTACCCACAGTGTGGGCCTTATCTTTGCAGGCTGACAAACTTGGATCTTGTTACTGCATCAGAACTGATCAGACCCAGTGGGATCAACTCAGTCAACCCCAACACATGAGAAACACAGAAACCCCTTTGAAAATGGGGACTGGGAAGAAGTGGGGTTCTGAAGTAGCAGTCTTTTCCAGTCACTAAAGTGATCATATGTGTAGTCCAAGGCCCTGTCTTTCTGAGTGGCGAGGTACATATGAAACCAAATGATCAATGAAAAGGTTGCTACCAGGTATGGAACACGAGCAGAGTGAAAGCTTTTGTCTGGGCCACAGTGAAGCCTGTGAAATCATTTCTAACCCATCTCCAAGAACCCTTCCCCTGGGACCACATCAGTGTTTGCCAGCTTTAGCTCCTTTTTGTCCCTTGCACAGGATTCTGAGGGCAACTCTTGGCTCTCTGGGCCTTCTTCTCTTACACTTCAGTGATTGCAAACCTTTTAGAGACTGAGTACGCAAGGTGCAATCCCTGATTTATCACAAGGTGCCAACACTGCAATTAAACCTGAATGTGTGGCTGTTGGAGCAATGCTAGGGCAGTTTGACTCACGTGCAGACAGTGAGGGCTGTGTGTGTCCACTGTGACACATATGCACTGCTCTCACCACCACTGCTCTTAACTGATACTATCCATTCCACCTTTTTCTCCAGATAGAGTACATCACAGTTAAGTAAGTGCCTGGATAAGAAGGTGCATGGGCTCTGGAACCAGACAGAGACAATCTGTCTACCATACTTACTCTATGGGTGGGGATGCTAGGAATTGAACCCAGAACCTTGCATGTGCTCTATTACTAAATTACATCCCCACTTACCGGGGATTAACTTTAGGCCTTCACACTGAACTATATTCCCCAGCTCTTCAATTCTCTTTTATTTTTTGTTTTGAGATGGGGGTCTTGTTAAATTGGCCAGGCTGGCTTGGAACTCACGATCCTCTTGCCTTGGCCTCCCGAGTAGCTGGAATTACAGGTATGGTCTACCACATCCAGTCACTTAGTTTCTTTAAATCTGTTTGCCATCTGCAAAAAGGGAATACTAAAAATACCAACTTCACAGAGTAGTGCTAAGTGCACAATTCAGCATATGTAATAGCAAATATATCCTTTTTTTTTTTTTTTTGTCTTTTTGAGACAGGGTTTCACTAAGCAGTTCAGGCTGGTTTTAACTCACTTTGTAGCCCCAGCTGGTCTCAAACTTGCAGCAATCCTCCTGGATTATCCTCTCAAGTACTGAGATTACAGCATGCACCACCACAGCCAGCAACAGCAAATATTATTCCAGCCAAATTCCAATTCTGTCTCTTTGTTATTATATCCAGGTCACCTTGACTAGAGTTTCAAGGGTTCTTCAGAGTATTCTGAGGACATTAGCAAGCAAGCAATCGCTTATACCTTATTCTTACAGATGTTTCATGTATTCTATAGGATACTTGTCATTCTCCAAACCATCCCAGCAGCACTAAGTCAGATGCACATAATCTTTACTGCTCACCTTATTTAAGAGTTCTCCACCAACTTTTGTTTTGAAGCCAATGAAGTGGTAAGGCTAGCTTTACTATACCCATGAAGTATTAGGCTCTCAAGTCTAAAATTTCATCATGTTTCCCTATAACACTCATCATCAAAGTGAGACCGAAGCCCCTGTAGTGTTTAATGGTATTTACTAAGTGACCAAACAGAGACCACCCTTTTGGGCTCCTATAAGTCGCTGTGCATGTCTCTAACAAATAGCTTACCAACTGTGTTAAATTTGTGTGCTAACTATGTGTCACAGTTAATTGTGTCAACTTGAGTAAGAAATGGCCAACTACCTTGGATCTAGGTGTGGAAGACTCAGCCTAGGGAGGATTGTCACCAGAATGGTGTGAAAAGGACATGAAGAAGGAAGGCTCGCTTCTGTTTCTTCACAGGAGCTCCAGTCTTCACCTTTATCTTGAAGGTCATCTCCTGGTTTCCAGCACAGACTCTTCAGCCTCCTCATAGGGACTCACACGGGACACAACACTGAGCCCCAGGCCTTCGACGGGATCCTCCGGAGCTCCACTGTGCAGATAGACCTTTTGTACTCTTCTACACCTGACTCTGTGGGTGGCCACTGTAAGTCAACCTCATAAATTCTTATATATTTGTATGTCTTGTATTAGATCCATTTCTCTAGTAAGCACTGATTGCAACAGTATGTCTCCATAACCTGACTATAAATTCCTCAGGAACAGAAACTATGTCTATCTCTCTTCATATCTCAACATCTTTGGCACAGTGCCTGGAACACTCTGAGCATTCAGTCAACTTTTGCTGAACTAAACAGCTAGAGTTCTCTCCTCTAAGATAATTAATATACCTACTACTTATCAGGAAGATCAGTCTTGGCCAAGGAGGAAAGTTTTTACTTGACCAGTCTGAAGTTAGCTCTCCAGAAACACAAGTTATACTTTTTACTGTTTTTTTTTTCCTAAGTTAAGGATGGACAAGGTTTTGCTTCCTTCTACTTATCAAAACAGCATTTTAAAATGCCATCTTGTGACTGAGTAAAGCACTTGCCTAGCATGTAAAAGCTCTTGGGTTTGGTTCATAGCACTGGAAAAATGAATAAATAAAGTAAAATGCCACCCTGGTCAAATCAATGATACGGAAGTCAGTAGTCAATGTCAGATTTTAGAATCATGAAGCTTCAGATAACATGGTGGTGTCCTCTGTCCCCAAAAGGAAAACATAATTTTTCTAGGGATTAGCCACTCAATTTGTAAGCACTTCATGAATTGCATTCTCTCCAATGCCCACCCAGGCAATTAAAAATTTCCTATGAGACACAGATAAACCTTTATTAAGGACATGCCCATTTGAGGTCAAATATTTCATGTGTTATTTTGGATGCAGAAAACAGGACCAAATTTCCTTCTCCATATCATCCTCTACCCAGTAGGAGATGTTGATTTTGGTTCCTTTTTCATACCTTTTACAATGAACATTTTTTTTAAAAATATATTTTACCTTTTAGGCAACTGTCTCACATTGGTTTTGAAAAAGAGTCGCCATAATAAAGAGGAAAACATTTTTCATCAGACTCTTGATGAAGGTAAAAGCTCATATGGGCAAAAGCTCAGAAGGGCAGCCAGGCATGGAGGTATATGCTTATTAACCCAGTAATCATCAGGAGGCCAAGGTAGGAGGATGAGCATTCAAGTCCAACCTAGGTTACATAGTGAGTTCAAGGCCAACCTGCAATATGACATAGAGATGTCTCAAAAATCCAAAGCCAAACCAAACCAAAAAACCCAGAAGGGCATTCATTATTTCATAATCTTTAAACCACTTTTAAATTTCCTTCATGTCTTACCATTAGAATATCTTCAGGGCCAGTAGTAAGCTGATGAATAATTTGAAACATCTGAAAACATCTGTAACATGAATGAAAAGTTTTAATATACTCTAGTCATCAAAAATTTGTCACTCAAGAGAAATTGCCTAAACTGAAAACATTACTGTATTTTAGACTAACAGGATATATTAAGATTTATAAAACCTTATCAAAGGTTTTTCAAACCTTTTTTCTGTTGTTGCTTTAGAATGATAATCAAATGGCTGAAAATTATAGTTCCCATTTTTCTGACCTCATCCCTGCAGTTTCTCCCACCCAGGGAAAGTTCCTATATGCCTGAAGTTTTAAGTCTAAAGGAAGCAGATAGCTTCACTAACAGTATAATCATTAAAAATACTGTCAACATTGACAGCTGAAAAAAATCCTGTTACGTTACATTCTCACTGCCAGATACTGATTCTATTCCTTTTACCTACTAAAATCTGAATTTTTATATATTACTTTTATAATCTCAAAATACTGACGACAAAAAAAAAAAAAAGAATTATTTCCTTAACCTTCTTAAACTCACTCTTCTAAAGTTCTTTTCTTTCCTTTGTCAATCACAGTCATCTGACTGTTGATGTTAAGATCTGGCTTCTTGGCTATTAATTTCTTCATGGTATCCGAACTAATGGATCCGTTCAGGTGGGCATGAAGTTCCTAAAACAAGAGACTACAGTCAATAAAAACCTAGAATCTGACACAGTGTCACACCATGTACTTGATGTTTTTACTTTGCACTAGGAAAACTGCCTATTAAGAGCTGAGCTATATAACCTCTAAAGTTTCTAATTCTACGCATAAAATTTATTTTTCTTTTGTGAAAGAAAGAACATTAAAGCTGGGAATACAGCTCAGTGGGAAAGCACTTGTCTAACAGGCTTAAGGACCTGGGTTCAATCTTTACTGCAAAAACAAACTAAAAACCATAAAGACCATTATAATCAGTAATTCTTCAAGAACTTGGTAGTTGATGTCTTACCACTTTGGGTAATTCCAAGTAAAAGTCTGTTGTCCACGGTTGCTGTCGTTCTGTCTCCATCATGATTTTACCAGGAAAAAAAATGGGTCCTTTTCCACTCTTACCCTTGGTTTGAATACCACAATGTATTTCAGTAAATTCTGTGCTCCTGGATTTTCTTCACATTCCTTCCACTCATTTTCATAAAGTTGGTTGTACATATAGTTCTGGGTTCAATTTCATCTATTTTAACAAATATGCATATGTTCAGATGCTGACATACAAGCCAAAAACCGAAACAAACCAAAACCCTATAGTTTTGCTAATTTATTCTTTAATGAGGGTATAATTTCAACTGGGGATTGAACAGCAAGTATCTGCACTGAGCCACATTCCCCAGGCCTTTTTTATTTTGAGGCATGGTCTTGCTAAGTCTCTAAGTTGCCCAGGGTAGGCTCAAACTTGTGATTCTCTTGCTTCAACTACTACAGTTCTGGCATTACAGGTCTGTACCTTCATGCCCAGCTTCCAAAGCTAATCTAAATGTGTCTGAGTAGGGAAATGATTAGTAAGCAACACATAAGAAATTAAGGAAAGGTCTCAAGCTATTATGAGATGTATTAAGACCTAAAATTTGGTAGTGTATCCCTTGCCTATTGATACTTTCTATAAACAACTTCAAATATTAGAAGTTTTGTTAAGTCTTATTTTGGATAAAAAATATAGACTTACATTTTGATTTATTAGAATATATAAAGGAAGAGCAGACATGTGGAATCAGATGGACCAACATTTGCCCATTTACCAGTTCTGCATTCCAGCAGCTTCATGGACTCAGTCAGTTATCCTCATGGCTTCAGTTTCCTTGTTTGTAAAAATAGGATAAGAATGCAGAATAGCTCTGAGATTAATAATGTAATTGACAGGGCTGGGGTTTAGCTCAGCAGTATAAGTATCTGCCTGGCAAGCACAAGGTCATGAGTTCAATCCACAGTACCAAAAAAAAGTAATTGATCTTCTATGTTCCCATATAGTTCACTGACTAATTTTAACTCCCTTAGGTTTCTTGAGAACAGAGACTGTTGCTCATTCTGTCACCTTGCTACCTAGCACAGTGCTGATACACTGCAGGTGATAAATCACTCTTAACATCTCTTTACCTCTGAAACATTCCAAATGAAGTTTAGTGACTTTCAAAGTAGCTACCTTGACCCCTGGGTTAGGAAGAATAGCAGTTTCCATGTATTCAAAACCTGCCAGATTTGTAGCAAACACATTTAATAATATTATCTTTAATTCTCACAGTAACTTTACAATGATTACTACAATAAAATTAATAAATGATACTCATCAGGTCTAAATAAGTTATCCAGATAGTAAAATGTTTAATAAAGAAAATAGTTTAGTCAGGTATGATGGTGCATCCCTGCAATCCCAACTACTGGGGAGGCTGACACAGGAGGATCACAAGTTCAAGGGCAGCCCAAGCAACATAACAAAATCTTTAACAAATTAAAAATTAAATAAAAAGGACCAAGAATGAAATTCAGCACTCCCTGGGTTCAATCTGCAATACTGCAGAAGAAAAGAAAATAGTTTACACAGGTCCATCAGAGCCATAAAAAGCCACAGAAAAACCCAATCAGTATGGGATAAAAGTAACATTTCAATGTACTGCTAAAGTAAGTGCTCCATAAAGAGTAAAAATGGAAAAGATGCACTATTTAATCAATGGTGTTTAAAATCTCTACTGAAAACATATAAATGACTTTCCTGAAGTGGGAAAATATACCTATTCTTGCACAGGTAAAATCAATTTATCATAAATTTTCCCTTCACAATACTAGGGATTAAGCCCAGGGGCACTCTACTACTAAGCTACATCCTCAGTCCTTTTTTCAAAATTTTGTTAAAGGTCTCCAAAAGTTGCCCAGGCTGGCCTGAAATGTGCAATATGCCTGCCTCAACTTCCTATGTAGCTGGGAGGACAGGTGCATGCCATCATGCCTGGCCATCCATCACAAATTGATTTACAGACTAAGCATCCCTTAGCCCAAATTCTTTTGACCAGTAATGTTCCTTATTTTGGAATATCTGTACACAAGTGAGGTATCTGGGGAACTGGACCCAAACCTAAATATGAAATTCATCTATTTCACACACACATTTTGCATATGGCCTAAAAGTTAGTTACCTTTGGAGACAGGATCTTGCTATATAATCCAGGTTGGTCTTGAATTCACTGTGTGGGCCTGGCTGGCTAGAACTCAAGATCCTCCTGCCTCAACTTCCCAGAGTGCAGGGATTACAAGAAGATGCCACTATGTCCAGCTCAGAAGCAATCGTATACAATATGTTTAACAATTTTGTGCATAAAAAAAGTTTCACAGTATGAAATTTTCTACCTGCAACATTATGTCAATGTTCAAAAAATTTCAGACATTAGGCATTTCAAATTCTAGCCAGGCCTGGTGGTGCATGCCTGTAATCCTGGCACTCTGAGAAGTTGAGGCAGGAGAGTCACAAGTGCAAAACTCACTCTGGGCAATTTAGCAGCTTAGCGAAACCCTGACTAAAAGGGAAAAAAATGGGAGGAGGGTATTCTGGAGAAGTAATTCAGTGCTAAGATTCTGGATTGAGTCTCCAATTTCACACATATGTATGTATACACAGACAGACACATATACACACAGATTTTAAAAGAATGCTTAACCTATATAAGTATTTTTAAGAAACAACTTGGCACCCAGGTGTGGTGGCACATGCCTGTAATCCCAGTGCTTGGGAGGCTGAGGCAGGAGGATCCCTGCAAATTGCGGACCAGCCTGGGCTACACAGTGAGCTTAACACCAGCTTGAACTACATAATGAGACCCTATCTCAAAAAGATAAAAAAAAAGAAAGAAAGAAAGAAAGAAAGAAAGAAAAGAAAAAACCAATTTAGCAGTATCAATGTAACAAAAAAAAATTTTTTTTGGCCTCAGTAACCTTTATGAATTTATGCTATATCTTATACAATATGTACCAGTACATTTCTTTTTTAAAAACTTTATTAAAAAATTAATACTGGGGCTGGGGATTTAGCTCAGTGGCATAAGTGCCTGATTGCAAGCAGGTAGTCGTGAGTTCGATCCCCGGTACTGATAAAAAGGAAAAAGACAAAAAAAAATTAATACTAAAACTTTAATGACACAATCAACTCTAACAGATAAAGTCAGAGATACTGTATTTTCTCTACTAATCCAAAGGCTAACTATAGAAGAGTAATAAAGAGGACTTCGGAGAATATGGCAGACAGATAGCAGCAGCTATGGAGGCTCTCTGAAAGACCCAGCTTAGAATTCAGGAATGGTGCAGAGTAAGGAATCATAAGCAAGAGGAGATATGCCCTGCTGACCCAAGAATGAACTGGGCTGAGAGAAACCAACTGGGAACGCAATCTTGGTGCTATAACAGGAACAGAAAAGCCTCAGTGTGGAAGCTGGAGCCTGCACCATTGGAAGGCGAGATTTGGGTTTCCCGCCACCGCTGCTGCGTCTGTGTCTGCTCGGCAGGGAGAGAGATGCGCGAAAGCTCTGAGAATGGGAATCAGTGAACGGAGTTGACAGCAGGATGGGCGGGGAGCTGTGCATCGACTTGCAGTGAGTGAGAGAAACTGGGACTCTTCCACTGTCTAGGAAACTCCAACAAAGGACATTCTGGGACCGGGCAGACTTGCGGGAACAGGGCGCTGTAGTGACTTCAGTCACATATCCCCCTCTCAAGCAGGATTGGTGAGCAGTGCCTAGCTTACGTGAAGCTGCTAGCTGAGACCCAGTAGGCTAGCACAATCCAGGTCCCAGCGCTTGAAGGTAGGTTGACCTGGAGGGGCGGCCCTGCATAGGCTGTCCGGTCTGCAACTTCCTGGTGCACTGCGGTGGGCAGGAACACCTAGCTGGCACAATTCAATCAGACTGTGGCCGACAGGGAAGGAAGCTGGGCCTCTTATATATGCTTGCATATATAAGGAACAAAGAATATGGGAAAAGGGAGCAACAAGAGAGAAAGAGGCAATCCTGAGAAAGAGGCAATAGCAGACACAGCACCAATAGATATAAAGCACTATCTCCAGAGCCTCATAGACGAGTTCAGGAATGAAGTTATTAATGACCTGAAGCTAGACATAAGCAGAATAGTTAGAGAAATGCCTTAGCATTTCACTACCCAAGAAAAAACAGATGGTGGAATGGAAGAACAGAAAAAGAGGGGAGAATTGTTTGATGGAGAAAATAGAGGAAGCATAGAATACGTGAAGCAGGTTCAAAGAGATTACCAGGAAACTAAAAACTATCAAAAACTGGCATAACAGCTTGAAAGAAACTAAGGACAGACTATCTGAACTGGAGGGCAGATTTATAATATGGGAGCATGAAATGAAAAACTTCTTAAAACTAACAAAGAAACAAACAGCAATAATACAAAGACTAGAAGATGATAAGAGGATCTATAACTTAAGAATTAAGAACATAAAAGAAGAAGTAGGGAAACAAACAAATGAACTACAAAAGCTACTCACAGAAATAATCCAGGAGAATTTTCCTAATTTAGCAAAAGGTAAAGATAGTCAGTTGTATGAAGCATACAGGACCCCAGCCACCTACAACCCAAACAGAGCTACACCCAGGCATATAATAATCAAAATTCCAGAAATCCAATACAAGAACAGAATATTAAAAGCCGTTAGAGACAAGAAACAGATCACTTACAAGGGAACACCCATCAGAATTACAGCAGACTTCTCGACACAAACCATCAAATCACGAAGAGTGTGGGGGGAAATAATTTAAGCTTTGAAAGATAATAACCTCCAGCCAAGATTGATACATCCTGCACAACTATTCCTGGAAATTGATGGAAAAACAAGGTGCTTCCAGGATAAAGAGGAACTAGGGGAATATGCAACCACCAATTCAACTCTACAGTGAATACTGCAGGATATTCTAAAAAAGAAAAATACAAAGAATCCAGAAATAGTGGCAGAGAGGCCACAATGAATGGAGCAGAAAACAAAATGAAGAAGACAAACTGACAACTAATGACAGAAAAAGAGCCCAACAGAAATGAGGCAGAGAAGATTGGATGATAGGAACAGCTATTTTGGAGAAAATGACATCATAATAGGTGATACTGATTTAGTATCATCTTGTTTTGAAGTCTCATCAAGCTTTTGTTCTTCCGTCTCCATTGGTCTAAACAGGTTGTATCTTATTGGATTTTATTATATGTGATAGTATAAACAAAAACTTTTATAGACAAGGAGATCATACAGAAACCATTGTTCATTTTCTGTTAGTTGATTCTAAATACCCTGTAATACTGTCATTCTCTTAAATGGTTTTACATTGTTTTGATATATTTGATGCTACAGTATACAAAGTTATACTCAAAGATTTCAAGGAAAGAGACAATATGGTAACTACTTTTAGGTCGGGATTATCTTGTGGTGAAACACTATTTTGCTTAAATGGTTATGTTTTGATCTGCACTGTTTTGCTGTTATGCCCTCTTTTATCTCAATCTCCATTTTGTTATTTACTTTTTTATTTTTATCCTCTTAATTAAGGGAAAAATATAAAAAATAACAGGATATATTATAGTAACCCACTTTGACTTTCCATTATCTTGACTTGAAGCCCTGTATTGCTCTCAGCATCTTGTTTTGACTGATGTTCCTCTATCCTGTTTTGTTTGATAGTACCAGGTTTGAAAGTTTAGGCAACAGCTGTGAAGATAGTGGGATTCATTATGACGCCCATTCTGGCTGACTATTATCTACTTTTGAAGACCTGTAATGTCTCCAATGTTTTGGTTTTGTTGGTCTCGTTCTTTACTGTTTTGTTCAATTTTATTGTAACTGATGATATAGGCAATTCTATTAAAGACAGTGGGAGGCATTATGGTAACTATTGTTGATCACCTTGTATTATGCTTTTACATTATCTATTATGTCCACCCTTTTGATTTGACTGACTCTGTTCTGTTATGTCACATTTGGTCTCTTCCAAAAAGTAATAAGAACTGTGGGAGCAACAAAACCCAAAATGTGTAATTGTCATTGTACAAAAGAGAGGAAAAGAAAGTGCTCTAAATGATATAACTGCATGTATATTTAAGTGTATAAGATAGATAATGATATTACTCAGTTTTGTTGGATCATTGAACAGAACTGTTTGCAGTTTCACTGTTGGTATGTCCACTTTATAAGCTTTAATTTTGTAACTTGAACAACTATTTCTAAGATGACAATATGTAATCCATTAACTAGTGATTTCCTACTGTTTATTTTTTTTTCCTGTAAATCTGTATAACTTGTACCCTTTTTCTGCTTTTTTTTCTTTTTCTCCTTAAATAAAATTAAAAAAAAAAAGAGTAATAAAGAATCCTATTCACATGAGATTGGACGCATTCAGGGTAGTTTGGCCATATACTGGAATCCCACTTAGTCTGATTCAAAAGAATACTAATTCAATGGTTTCTTAGTATGGAAAAAAAAAAGAATACTAATATTTAATCCTGTTTATAAAGTCAAAGAATGAAAATTTGCAGTTAAAACACTGAGAAAGCCACATGTTTAGGTAATATGTCTTTGAAAGTCTAAAAGAAGAAATATAAGACCTAAGTTTTCAATGGCATATGTGCTATTAACATATGTTCTGAAATCTGGTAGGTCACATCAGTCCTTGAATTAAAAAATAAAACCAAGGGGCTGGGGATTTAGCTCAGCGGCATAAGTGCCTGCCTTGCAAGCAGGCAGTCGTGAGTTCGATGCCTGGTACTGATAAAAATGAAAAAGACAGAAAATAATAATAATAATAATAAATAAAACCAAAAAACAACTGAGCATTGTAATTTTTCAGTGCCACTATAGCTTTCTTTCACATCATTTTAATGTTAATGTTCACTGTAAACCATTTTCACATTCATCAAGAAATCTTTGAATAGCAGTCCTTTCTGATCTGAGGTCTTAGAACCTTTCAGATTCAATGTGTTCAGTGGTCCCACTGACCTTATGCTTAGTATCACTTTTCTTTGATTCACTTCCCTGTCCCCTCAGAAAAGGAGCTCAGAATATTAAAAATGTTTACTATTTACAATGCACCTATTAGAGGAGTTAGCTACTGAGCTAAGTGTCTCAGAAGGTTATTTTAGGTCCTCACAACAACCTATGAGATATTACTGTCCTCACTTTACCTAAGAATAAGCAAAGTTTAGGAAATCGTAAGGTTCTCAAATCACAAATTTTGCTCTATTCTTTTTTCTTACATCACTCTTTTTGATTTGATTACAAAAAAGGAATATTTTAACTTAACATTTACATTTTACTAACTTTTCATTAAGGATCCATCCAAAGATCCAGAAACCTCATATATGAATTCTTTTCCCAATTCCTCTACAAGCACTTCTGAAGTCCTCAAGTCCACAGATCCAAGTGCTTTATTTACACTGACAACCCTGCCACTAACTTTACAGAGAAAACAGAAGCCATAAGACATGAATTTTTTCTATTTCTCTCTGCTCTACAGCTAAACTTATACTCTTTTGAGTCAGAGAAAAAAAAATACATTTTCCTGCCCCCAAGACTAATGTGTACCCAGGATCCCCATTTTATTCCTATCTATTCCAAGCTGTTACCCTACCAGTGAGTTACTTTCCAATTTTTATGTTCCTTCAACTTCCCCTCTCTACAGGCTGATCTCCCTCAGACACAACATGCATGTGCACGTTTTTGCTTCCACATTCTTCTTTAAATATTGCCTCATCTCTTTGCTTGTAAGCCAACCTCCTTTGAAAGCACAATTTACACTAGATGCTTCCATTAACTTTTCTCCCATTCAATGTGACACAGATTCTCCCCTCATTATGCCAGACTCTTCTCTCCCAAAGGATATTAACGCCAAAGGTAAGGAGAATTTTCAAACTAGGAAATCTTTGTATCAGTGTAACATTTTTCTTAGCTCTAACATCCAAATCAGTTGGACTCATACCCTTATCCATTATGTGTTACTACTTGAGGTTAACCATACTTAAAAGTCATCCAAATTTCCTTCTCTATATCAGCCAGTCAGCAAAATAATACATTTCCTAAATAGCTCTGATACTGGTTTCTTACTGATGGTTTCTTACTTACTCCTAGGCATGCAATTTAGGAACTTTATTTTAAACTTCAAGTTGGACTTCCTCCTTAAAAGCAATATTCACAATATGGCAGAGAGAATAATCACCTCTTTTCCATGACTAGCTGTCGAGGACCACACTCAACGCTACTTTCGCATTACATAAGATTGCAAGTGAAGGAAAGCAGCATTTTACAGATGAGAAACAGGGTGAGTGGATTAACTATTGTCAGTTAGTAGAGAATACAAGGGAATCAAAAGTATGTACCTGTGACGTGATGGTTATTTTAAATATAAATTATCTTTAATTTTCTTTTTCTTCACCTTCCATACGACCTGACTTTTTTTTTTCTCCAGACTTAATGGGTTCTGTTTTGCACGACGAGCACAGTAAATAAATTAGCAACTACACTAGCATTCCAAGCACGATCTCTTCTGGCCCGTTTAAGGTCCCAGGGGCTGAGTCTTTGTGCCTACCAAAGCCCTTCCTTTGCCATCCAAGACAATCAGTACGTCAGTCCCCGGACTCACCTCCTCGATTTTTCAGCTACAAGGGCCCAGACAAGTATCCCTTCACACTGAAAGGCAGGTAGAAAAGTTACAACCTGTGCTACCCTAACACGCTGTCATTCACTCTCCGGGAAAACGTAATCCTGAGAATCAGACAAAGAACGTTCGCAGCTGACTTTGCCACTTAACCTAGCACTGTGGCTAATCCTGATTGCCTAGCTGCGCTCTGCCCGGAAGTGACGCATGCGTGCGCCCGGACCGGCGCGTCCAGAAAAGGGGCGGTTCTTCCGTTCCGAGCGCGCAGTGAGGGTTGGCTGTACCGGCTCCGAAAGTTGCTCTTGTTTCCTGGCCATGGGCCCACGGAGCCGTGAGCGCCGGGCAGGAGCAGTACAGAAAACCAATGACAGTAGCGCCCTCAGCAAGAGTTCTCTAGCCTCGCGCGGGTACGTAGACGATGCCTTCACCTCGCTGCTGGTCCCAGCGACCGCGCGCCGCACGCCCCTTATTCACCGGGGCTACTACATCCGCGCACGCGCCGTGCGCCACTGCGTGCTCGCCTTCCTCAAACTGACGAGCGCTGGCCCAGAAGCGCGTCGCTCCCAGATCCTGTCTCTTGGCGCGGGCTCTGACTCACTGTATTTCCACCTCAAAGCTTCAGGCCTTCTGGCCGGGGCTGGAGTCTGGGAAGTGGATTTCCCGGTCGTGGCGCGGCGCAAGGCGGAGAGGATCGAGGAGACGCCGGAATTGTGCGCGTTAATCGGGCCTTTCCAAAGGGGCAGACCCGAGTCGACGTTGTGCTTCGAGAGCTTGGACTACCACATCCTGGGCCTGGACCTGCAGCAGCTGCAGCAACTAGAAGAGGCCCTGGATGCGGCTGGCCTGGACGCAGCCATACCCACCCTGCTTCTGGCCGAGGCCGTACTCACCTACCTCCAGCCCAGCAGTGCTGCAGCCCTCATTGCCTGGGCTGCCCGGCGTTTTTCTAATGCCTTTTTCGTGGTATATGAGCAAATGAAGCCACAAGATGCCTTTGGCCAGGTCATGTTGCAACATTTTCAGCAGCTGAATTCTCCCCTACATGGCCTGGACCTCTTTCCTGACGTGGAGTCCCAGCGATGCCGCTTCCTTGAAGCTGGCTGGCCTGCCTGCAGTGCCATGGACATGAATGAATTCTACCGCTGCTTCCTCCCTGCAGAAGAACGGCAGCGGATGGAACATCTTGAACCCTTTGATGAATTTGAAGAGTGGCATCTGAAGTGCTCCCACTATTTCATTCTGACAGCTTCTAAGGGAGATACCCTCTCCCAGGCTCTTTTGTTGGCTCCCTTAGAGGCATTTCCTCAGGTAGATCCAGCTTCGCCTTCAGGGGTCTTTCCTGCCAAAGTGGTCACTAATGGCAGCCAGGGTTCAAACCTTAAGAGATATGGTCACGCCTCTGTCCTCTTGAGCCCTGGGATTGTCCTCAGTGCAGGAGGATTTGGAGAACAGGAAGGACGGCATTGCCGAGTGAGCAAACTTCACTTGTTCTCAAGATACTCTCATGTTGAATGGAAAAGCAGCCAAATATATTGTTGGGGGACTGGACTCCAGTGGGATGGACGCCTTTATCATACCATGACAAGACTTTCAGATACTCAGGTTCTGGTTCTGGGAGGGAGACTCTCCCCAGTAAGTCCAGCCTTGGGGGCTGTCCAACTTCATTTACGTAAGAGTGGGGATAATAGCACTGAATCCATAAATGTGACAGTAACAAAGGTTGACTTGGAAGATTACACTTTGTCATGTTGGCGGCATTCAACAACAGAAGTGTCTTATCAGAATGAGAAATACTTGTTTGTGTATGGGGGTCGGAATGTAGTGGAACCAGTGCTAAGTGATTGGCATTTCCTACATCTAGGAACAATGGCTTGGGTCAAGATCCCAGTGAAAGGGGGTGCACCTGACCCTCGGCATTCCCATAGTGCCTGCCCTTGGCAAGGAGGAGCCCTTATTGCTGGAGGTCTTGGAGCTTCTGAAAAGCCATTGAAATCTGTAGTCTTCCTGAGACCAATCTCTTGTGGATTCCTGTGGGAATCAATAGATATCCAGCCTCCCATTACCCCAAGGTACTCCCACACATCTCATGTATTTAATGGACAGCTTCTGCTGGTTGGAGGGGTCTGGATTCATTCCTCCTCGGTTCCTGGAGTGACTGTTATCAATTTGAGTACAGGATTGAGCACTGAGTATCAGATTGACACAACAAGTGTGCCATGGCCACTAATGTTGCACAACCATACCAGCATTCTCCTTCCCGAAGAACGACAGCTCCTGCTCCTTGGAGGTGGTGGGAACTGCTTTTCCTTTGGCACTTACTTCAACCCTCATACAGTGACTCTAGACCTTTCTTCTTTAAGTCCTGGGCAATAAAAATGATGCTTGATATAGATAACAAAGGTGTCTGCAAATAGACCTTGAGTTTGGTTGTAGAACTGCCATACCACCACCAGCACCACCCTCTTTTATTCCTTTGCACTATTAAATGCAGAAAATGAAAGTTATTAAAATGCCAACAGAGAAATAGTGTGATTAAACAGGAAATTGGCCACCCAGCTGTAAAGTAGAAAGCATCTAAATTCATGTATTCAGTTGATTGGACTTCTCATTTTCAAATCTAAAAGTTACTCATTTATTGAATTTAAAAGCAAAGCCAGATGTGGTGGTATACACTTGTAATCACAGTATTTGGGAAACTGAGGCAGGAGAACTGCAAATTCAAGGCCAACCTGAACTACATATCAAGACTGTCTCAAAAAAATCAAATAAATAAATGTAATACATTCTCTATTATTATTATTATTATTATTATTATTTTGTCTTTTTTTCGTTTTTACTGGTACCAGGGATCAAACTCACGACTGCCTGCTTGCAAGGCAGGCGCTTATGCCGCTGAGCTAAATCCCTAGCCCCGAGTAATACATTCTCTAACCTGGCCTTTGTGACTTGAGACTGTACCTTGGAAAAAGTTTCAAATAGTTCCTTAGCAAGAATGCAAGGTTGAAAGTAGTTCAAGAAACATTATTGGCCTAATTCTTGGTGAAACCTGAAATGAACACAGTTGTTTAAATTACTATGCTTGTAAATGCAAACCAGAATTCAGTATTAATGAGAACATTTGCACAGCAGTTGAAAACCATGCTTTTGATCAAGTTTTGCCACTGGTGTTATATTTATTTAAATGTATAAATGCCAGCAAACTAAATAATTCATTCTAATCATAGTTTAATGTGCTGTTCCAGATCTGTTCCAAACAGCCATCACTCTGTTCTGTGCCCTGTGGGAAGCCGCCTGAGATGGCGCCCATTTCCTGCTTCCGGGTTCTTCTGCTTCTCTGTGATTGGATACTGCTTCCCCTTATAAGAGGTTGTTCCTGCCCCCAACGGGCGGAAGAGGAATCAACGTTGAGGGTGGCGGACCTTGTTAGGTCCGGTTCGCTGTACGCAATAAAGTTTGAGAGCTGATCCTGCTCGAGTTTGGTCTCCTGTCTCCCGCGGCTCCGGTCAGTGCCCCAGGCAGTTTACCTTTATGGAGTGCGCCAATTAGCATTTTTTTTTTTGGTGCCAGGGATCAAACTCTCAACCATGCCCTTGCAAGGCAGGCGCTTATGCCACTGAGCTAAATCCCCAGCCTTTTTTTTTTTTAATTGGTACCAGGGATTGAACTCAGGACCACCTGCTTGCAAGGCAGGTGCTTATGCTGCTGAGCTAAATCCCCTCCGATCAGCATTCTTGTCTCATGGTTTCTAGTTGAGTTCCACTGGCTAGAAGCACTGAAAAAAGGGGATGGGGGCAAAAAGAGTGATTGAGTATTTGTAGCTCTTTCCCTGATGGTCTACGGGTTAGCAGCAGCAGCTTACTTTTCTGTCAAAGGCTACAGCTCTCATCATGTAGTCCTCTCCTGTAATAGTTCTAATTCTGCATCAATCCAGGCTTCAGTAATCGCCTTTTCCTTGACCACTTCAGGCCTGGCCTAGGAGTTGTAATGGCTCATTGTTACGGACTTGCCCAATTAAAACTAAGCAACATGTAGCTATTTAAGCTAATTAAGATTAAATAAAATTTGGGCTATAGATGATAGAATCACCTATGACTAGCAAGCGTGAAGCCCTGGGTTCAAACTTCAGCACACACACACGCAAAGTTCAATTGATGTGCTTTGAAATTTTATTGTAGTTTTTTCTCTATATTTGAATAAAATGGATTTGAAAAAAATAAATACAATAAAATGAATTCAGTGGCTTTAACCACATTTTAAAGGCTCAGTAGCCACATGACGCCAATAGCATTTTTATTAGACATGTAGATATAAAATATCTTCATTATTGCAGAACTAACTGGACATCACTGAGGCATTTTACCATCTTTGTTTTCCTTAATCCTGGTCACCCCCTTATAATGGCATATTCATTTAACTCAGCTTTTAAATGCAGGGGATAATCTGTCTCCTGAGAGTCTTTCTTTTTTTCTTCCTTTGCTTCCAACTAAGTTAAGTCTTTCTATTCTTCTGGTAATCTCTTTCAGGGCTAACTACTTCCATTGTAGGTGATGAAATATATAAGGCTCCACTTCCAAGTGTTGGCACTGCTATAAACAACATACTCTTTTTTTTTTCCCTTCCCTACAATTCAGAATTAAAACTTTGATTCCTATGTTCCAGTCTCAGAAGTAGTTTCCACTGCAGAAGTTATTTGAAGATAGTCTTAATGCTTTTTAATGGTGATAAACAGGCTCTATCTTCTCCACAAACACTACAATGAACTTAGTTTATACTTGTATGAAACTAAGAGGCATTCTTTCAAATGAGTTTAAAGGCACTTTATCTTTAGACAACCTACATGACTTGTGTTTTCCCTAAAAAATGCCTTCACTTCCAATAAATCATGGTCAAAATAAATTGAAGCATTCAAGATAATATCAGACCCATTTGTTTAAAATCCTGGTGTTGTGTGGATGACAAGTAGCAACCAGTTATGATGTGAGATCCAAGGTAATCAGCAAATCAATTAACATTTTCTTCATTTCTAAACTATCCTTAAAGAAAATCATAAATTGGGGCTGAGGATATAGCTCAGCAGTATAAGCACCTGCCTGGCAAGCATGAGGCTGAGTTCAATCCTGGATACCAAAAAAAAAAAAAAAAAGTCATATTTAGGGTCACACTATCCTCAATGGGAGTCCAGGAAAGCAACTATGCCATCTGGATCATGTTTGCACCAATAAAGAACTGAGAGTTTTCAAAATTAGCAAGGATGTGCTTGATATGTTCTGCAGACCCTGTCATAAACAGTTTTACTCTTTCTAGTCTTTGTTCTTCAAGTTTGCCTTTGATTGATTTCATATAATCTATGATGTACTGCTCATAGGACTCTTTTGTGAAGCTGGTTTCCTGCAAGTGATGGTTTATGACAGTATCAACACCAGTGACTACTGTGCTTTCAGGGCTCTTACCCTCCAGACTTTCAGCGGAGTCATTTCCAGTGTTGAACGAGCATCAGTGTTACCCTCTGTTCTACCCACCATCTTGCCCTCCACCTCCAGGCACAGCCCATCCTTGATCTCCCGGGTCTTGTAAATGTTGGACAACATGTTGTGGCGATGAGGCTTCAACAGATAATCATGATGGTGGCTGAAGAGAGACAGCGGCCTTGCTAGCTTAGCAGGAGCCAAGAGCTTAGAGCAAGCGTGTAATGCAGTGCAATGCAGCCAGTGTGGTGCTTGGTGGGAGTGGGGAGTGGGAGAAAAAGTTCCTGGTGAGTCTTAAGAGGTCAACAAAATGTCTTAGATATTAAGGCTTGCAATTTGATCTCTAATTTGTCATGAATTGTAATATATCATGTGTGTTGTGCATTGTAATACATGCCCATAATCCTAGCATGCAGGAAGCTGAGACAGGAGGATTACTGCCAATTTGAAGCCAACCTTGGCTACCTAGTAAATTCAAAGCCAGCCTGAACTACATAGTGAGACTCTGTCTCAAACAAACACACAAAAAAGCAAAATGGTTGTGCGGGTATTAAGTATAGTATCTTGAGATTATATAAATACCTAAATATTAACTGTCAGTGTTACTGTCTTGGTGGACTTGTCACAGAATCTCCTTTCTCAATATTTTTATGAACTTTGCATATAAATGAATGTAAAAGGTTAATATAAAAACTAATGCAAACTGATGTGTATGGAGAGGGTCCTGTTAGCTCTGTTAGATGGTTAGATGAAGACTCCCATAAAAAAACAAGATTGGAGTCAATTTCAACTTTTCTGAGACCTAAGAATCCTTTCTGGAGAAATCATTGGTTATGGCCATGAGTGAGTCCTGGAGAAAAGGACTTACTATACCTACACAGGCATCTGGCAAGGCTATCAGTGGGCCGAGTGCTGGATGTTGGTAGAAGTATGATCAGTGTGGGAAAATGCTGCTCTGTAGTCCTGTTTCTAAATTCACCACAGCATACCGTCAGCTTCCAGAAGCAGATCAAAGCCAAACACTATAATGACATAAGCATAATCAGTCATGTAGTAGATTGTTCCAGAATTCTAACTCCAAAGCCTGGCTGACACCTTCCATTATGCGACTACTTAGATTGTGTCCTCAGCCATTATAATTTCATTGCTCTTGTGAGGAAAAGCTGGGAGAAGTAATCAAGAGAATGTGGACGTGTGGTAGACCTAAAATCCCAGAGTGGTGGTGCCTCTTACTTTGACCACTGCCCAAGATGGCACTGTATTAGTAGCTGGCTTCTCCTAAATTACTCCCCAGAGAAATCATTCACATTTTCTGTGATTATCAGACTAAGCCTACACTCTACCCCCACCCCTTCAACATGCTCAGTTAAAGAATTACTCTTCTCAAACTCTGCTCATTAGAGCACTTATGAGTCTTGTTAGCAACATTTAAGATATGACTCTGGAACAGCATTCGGTATGTACTGTTTATGTACTGGAGCTTATTCTAAAATTCTGGTATTGGACATGGGAGTAAGTTTCTTCAGAAAAATGTGTTAGGGGAGGAAAAGAATTTCTGTCTATAAAATTCTACTCCAGGCAGGGTCTTAAAAATAACATGTCGTATTAGTAAGGATATGAAAACAAAGTTAAAAATTCTGTTCTACGATATGTTTCTCAAATGCCAGTGTTGTCACTTTTGTGTGCTATTTGAATTTTCCAACTGAATGTCTATCTTTGATCTTTCTGCAACTTTAATCCTTCTTACTGTCGTAGGGAGATGGCATGTATCACATATGATCCAGTGTCCAAGCAAGTTAGTCTTTTTTGTCTTTTCTCTCAGGTCCCGAAGACCTGGTTTATCTCAACCCAACTTCAAGCAATCCATGCCTACACTAAGGCTCATCCCATGTGGCATTTCTGACTATAACCCACCACTCTCTTCCTGCATGAGAATCCAGTGTACTTTGGACAGTTTAGAGATTAAGAGAACTAGTTACTAAGGTAAGTTACTAATCACAGAGACCATCCAGTAACACTATAACTAAGCCATCTGGATGTGGTGGCACACACCTGTAATCTCAGCACTCGGGAGGCTGAGGCATGAGGATTGCCTTGAGTTTGAGGTCAGCCTGGACTATGTATCGAGTTCAAGGCCAGTCTGAGCTACCTAGTGAGACCCTGCCCCAAACAAACAAAAAGACTACACTAAGTCTTTTGACTGCAGTAATAAAAAAGAGGAAATAAAGTATCATGAGTTTGGCAAGTTAAGTCATAAATCTTGACTCATCATTTTTGTACTTGATGTTTAAAATGAGAATATGTACAGCAGAAAGTAAGAAACTTATAATAATCAGCTTTAGAGTAGGCTGACATTTGTCAGTATTTATGTAATAAAATAATACTGTTGTCCCACAGTTTAGCTATAAGACTACTCACTCACTGTGTTTGATGTTAACATAAACCACTGGGTTGGGAAAGGACAGTTTCTTGACTGAGGGAAGGAACTGTTTCTGGTTCAGTTTTCTGTCCCTACTAGAGTAGATGTACAGTAAATACATGTTGAATAGAAGTCCACTCTGGTACTCAAATCGTATTTAAAGTTACTAGGGCCTAGCATGCAAAGAGAGATATCAGTAATTCCTGAAATTATGTACATGTGGGGATGAGCACTAAAGTTTTAAGGACTCTCCATTCAAAAGTCTTTAAGTTCAACTACCTTCACTTAGGTAAAGGTGTAGGCTTCCTGGTATTATTCCTAGTTTTATTGAGTAGACCGAAACCCTCTCCTGATTATAATTTTCAGCTAATCCTGCTCAACAATAGTCCATGGTTACCCCATGGCCTTTGTAGCTGAAACGAATTATCTTAGCCAAAAGACTAACCTGAAAGAGTAAGAACATGCAGCTGAATGTACCCCTGAGAACCTATAGATAAGGTCAAGCCAGGATGTTGTGATGCTTCACTGAGCATGACTTGGTGTGTAGCTCTCAATGTAAGTTTAACAGAGGAAGAGGAAA